AGCTCCGTGGTTCACGTGGACGCCTCCGCGCTGTCGCTGCTGCCACTGACCAACGACGTGGACGAAGCCGCCGCGCGGCTGCCGCTTGGCCAAAGGCCTGGGATGGTTGGACCTGGTTTGGGTTTACGGGAATCAACCAGTCTGCTATTACTCATATAAAGATATACATATATATATAAATACATTATATATATATATATGTATATATCTACTTATCATGTATATTATATATATATACATATATATATGTATTTATCATGTATATGTATATTTTTGTTTATTTGTAAGTGCATGGCAGTTGTTCAAAGAGGCAAAATGAAGGTAGATCATGGGGGCTTCAAATCTCAGGCCCGATGGCTTAGGATTTGGGGCCAGGCAATCCCCGTAAGAGTGATCTTCTTAATTGCACGGGGAGCTAGGTACCGACCAATTCAATTTGGGCGTGTCTAGTCTTTCTGCCCGGCATTTTGCCAGTTTGATCCTGGAACCCCGTCGTCCGACCCATTTGAAGGGACGATCGCGCAGCTGCTGCGAGCAAGATTCCTGCTCCAACAGACGGTGGTAGTACCCTGTTTAGCCCCGAGGATTCACAACGCCACCAACCAGCGCCGGAATCACATGATGACCCATCCGCGAGATGCTCCCGAGGCCCCAGGCGGGAACTGAGACGGCTGATGTCAAGACTTCCCCAGAATTAGCTCCCCCCTTTTGTGGTTGTTGCTTTTTGGGTCCCCTTTGTTTTCCACTAACCAGGCAAAAAGACTATTTTTTTGCTGGGGTCCTAGTTCCAGCCAAGAAGAAGCGTGCCAAAGACTGAAAGGCCCAGGGGGTTGACGGTTGAGACATGTTCATCAGCCTTGAGGTGGAGAGGGAAAGGAAGAGGAGGAAGAGGAGGAAGAGGAGGAAGAAGCTGAGGCGCATGGGGGGGTGCTGGTCGCATGCAGTCGTTTGAGGTTTGGGTTAGAACCAGTGAGAAGACCAGCCTTTGCACTATCTCAGAGGTAGTCTTTGGTGTCAGACAGGCATATTGTAATATGTTACACTATCTAGTTCTTTGGTACGTCCAGCGCTACTTGGCACCCAATGTGGCCGGTTTTTTTGGTTTCTTTTTTGGATCATTTGCGTATGTGACCCGTTGAATTCCGTATGGTTTCAACATTTAACTGCCATATGGGGTCCCAGGTAGATGCCACCTGTGATACAACAAACTGCGAGCCAGCTCCAAGGACAGCTCCTGGTCCCCTCCCTGAGCGTTGGTCTTATCAAAGTCGCAGTTGGTCGCACTTGGAGAGAGACGTGTCACGGTGTTATGCGGGCAAACGCCGAGCACGCAAGTGACGTAGGGGCCGCAACCTTCTCGGAACCTGCAAACGAACCGATTGAACGGGTCCCTGAAAACTGAGTGCTTGGAAACCTCCTAGCATCTGCTTGCTTTGTGGTGAATTGGCCACTGCTCGTTTAAGCCTCCCTGGCCAGCTAAGATATTATATATCCCCCAAACCCCAGACCAACATGATTCAACCCATTGAACGGGTTGCCCAGCTTTTTGGGGTCAAGTTTCAAGGAAAACCGCCGAACTCTCACCCTTTCTGGGGTTTTTCAGGGAATGAGTTGGAATGACCCCAGAAAAAAACATCCAACTGGTGGTTTCATCTAAGGGGACTGGGTTCAATCCCACATTCCCCACCTATCGCACCATACACTAGGTCCAGTAGTGCCCTTTTCCCCTGGTTTGGGCTTTTGGGTTCCCCTACTAAAATAGACTATAGAAAAAATTGGGCGCCCTTATTATTTCTAACCGCTTTACTGGAGGGCCTAGGCAAGTTTTCGAGTCCCGTTTCGCGTTTTTTTTTTTTCCCCAGGAGGAGGACCTGGAGGTGGATCCAGAAGATCCGGGCCAAGTGCTGAGCGGCCCAGCCGCGCTGGCACTGAGGCGGTTGTGACACGCATTTCTAGGGGAGGGGTTGGTGGGGAGGGGCTGGTTGGGGGGGGGGGGGTAGGATTCCCCATTCTTTTCAACCATCGTTTTTTGAAAAAACCAGGTGGTTTTTTAGAAAGAAGGATGGCTGGAAATGGAAAGAATGGGGAAGGTACCCCTTGGAAAATTGGTCTGATTTGGTGGGGACCCTCCTGTCCACATGACAATTTGCGGTCCTGGAAGCCTATTTTCCTTGAAAAGGGACCTTGTGGTGGGTTCCATGTTAGTGGACAGAAGGGTAAAAGCCGGAAACTCTCACAACTTATTTGCGCAGGACATGAGGTCGACTTTTTTTTTTCCGGGTAGGAGAACCCACAGAACCAAAAGACAAAAGCTCAAGCCGATGGGATGGGCCCTTGGGAGGCTCGTGTGCGCATCCAAGCCGGCCAAGCTGGAAGAGCTCTTGAAGGAGGCAGGGCGCAGGTTCCAAGGTGGCAATTTGCCAGAGAATTCTAGGGGTACCAGGGCAATTGCAGGCACTGGTTTAGATGGGTTTTATTCCATTTACCAGGGTCATCTATTTTTTTCAACAGGACACATGGCTGTTGGGTCACCCAATGCTTTTTCAGTGTTTTTCTGGGGGAAGCCTCCGTGTCCATTCTGAACCCAGGGATCCGAATCTTTTCAGGAAACCATCAGAATTCCAGGGAAACAGCTGGTTTTTAAAAGGAACGATGGTTGAAAAGAGTGGGGAATCAACCCCTTGAAGAATGATTCTTTTGGCTGGTTGTCAGAGCTTGATGGCAGCTATGTTTTGCCCAACTCACCTCCTGCCAAAAAACTTGCTCAGTTCCAAAAGCCATAATTGAAGTGTTTCCGTTGGATGCTCAACACACACACACACACCCACCCACCCACCCACACACACACACACACACACACACTGTCCTTCGTTGTAGTGGCACCTTGCTGAGGGATGCCTCCATTTCAAGCACCATAGCATTGCAGGCATTTGTGCCCGCGAAAGACCCAAGAAAGGGGTCTGCGAACTCTTTGTACATCTGGGCACGTTTTTCTTGCTGGTTCTCAGGGAATGAGAAATGGAATGACCCCCTAACCATCCCCTGCTTCCTTTAGGGGAATCCCCTTCCGGCTCATTCCCACGCTGGGTCATTCCCTAGCTATCGCACCAGCAAGTGTGCAGCACCTTGGCGGATTTTTTTATGCGGAGATAGCACTTTCCGGAAGCAGGAAGATTGATCAACTCCTATGTGGCGGTGTGCTTGCATTTATATATATATATATATATATATATTTATGTATATACACCTAGAAAATCAAAATGCCCGAGAAAAAGCCTTTTTTTGAAAAAGTATCCTTTTTGCATTACTAAGGATTTTCTAGGTATATGTATATTCATAGCATACCCAATTGTCAAGTACGGGCGACCGGGGAGCCAAGGGGTACAATGCCCTGTCGATCCCGAGGCCGAGCTTCCGCAGAACGCCTGGGAGGACAACGTTTTTTTTTTTTTTTTTTTGCGAAGTCCGAATGGAGGGTGAGACTTAAAATCATAGGTGTCCTTTTTGGTGGTGTTGCTAGAAAAATAGATGGCGATTCCTGGTTTACCTGGTGGTTTAATCATCTACCAGGGCCATCTATTTCCCCTAAAAGGACACCTATGCTTAAAAGTGCGAAGCCTTTCTGGATGTCATTTGCCCTCCCAACAAAACGACATGCGAAGCGGAAGAACAAATCGAGGACCAGCAATTGTGAGAGGGGAGCGTGGCTGGGATCTCTGTTTGCCTGCCTGCCGCCAAGGCTTTTAAAGAATATGATTTATAAAGGACAAATTGCTGCGTGTCACAACTCGGCATACTTTGTTTTTGCATCTGGGCTGCAAACGGCAAGCACAGACACAAAGTTTTACATGGGAACTCCTTGGCCTACCTGAGTGGCTTACCGGAAAGAAGCTGGGGATCTTTCTATTCTAATTCCACCATCACTGAACCGGGAGGGGGACCAATGGAATGCCAAATTGGCTCAGCCAGGAGCTGTGCCAAGTCCTCACGCAGCTGACCGCTTTGGGCCTTGCGCGCGTGGAGGCTTCCGCTCGGGTGTGCCCGTTGCCCCCTCCCGTGTGAATGTGTGGTGGGTCCAGGCAAAATAAATGTCCATGGTGCATTTTTGATTTGTTTGACTTTTGCAATAGAATGAGAGGTGGGTCTGGCAGGTTTGGCTTCACGATGCCAAGATGCCGCGCGTTGCGCGCAGGAGAGTGGTTCTGCGGTGCCCGCAAAGCGACGGAGGAGCATGAAGCGGCAGGCTGAAGCATGTTGAGTCTGCTCCCTGGGGGGGGTGGGCCCTGCTTCAAGAGTCGCCATCCACGGAAATCCAAGCGTTGGCAGCTCAACACGCGCATGCTGTGTTGCAGGACGCAAAAGTGATCCATCCTGGCCCGGAAGGTATGCGACGAAAAGATGCGCGCCGCCTCGCTGGAAAGTTTGGGTTGGCCCATGTGAGCCAGAATCAAAACCCGGGTAGATGCAGGTTAGCAAGGGACAATCCCAACCATAAATAGCTGCGGCCGCCTTCTTCAGTTCAGTCTAGTCTGTACATGGTTCTGGGTAGACCATTTTAATACCGGGTTTTGATTATGACTCAACGGAGGCATTGTCGGTGTTTATTGGCCAAACTGGCAGCCCGACTGTCACACGGCTTTGCCGCCTTCGGCAGCCTCTCTGGAAGCAGCAAACTAATACGTCACAGGCATCGGCGCATCGTCGCATCGGCGCAGGCAGAATGAATGCGCATCTGCCAACTCGTTTTTGGTTTTATGTTGTTCGAGTTTGCACCAATAGCCCCAAATACGCCTCATGCAAGTTAGTATGCGCATGTGCCAACCCCAACTTCCATTTGCTTAAGAATATGTGTTATTTCCCTTGTGGGTTTTGAAAGGAATTCAGCACTACTGGAAATATGCTTATTTTTCCAGGGGTCGTACCTCAAATGGAAGCCACGTCTTGCTTGCACATAACTGCAGCTTGCCGCGCGACCCATAGGGAGAGTGCGGGGACTGGAGGTCGGGGCTTGGCATGAGCCCCAACCGCCAGATGATGCGGGAGGCGCGTTGCCCGGGCCGCCTGTCGCTGGGGTTCTGGTCGGCAGGGCGCCAAAACGTGTCAGGGCTCGGGGGACTTGATGTGTGCGGTTGGTCAACATCAGCAGGATGGATAACTTTTTGCTGGGCTTATGTGGGACACTATGTTTTGGAGGGTCCGGTGCAAAAGGTGGTGGTTTGATTGGCTACCTTGGAATAGGTCGCGTGCATGATGATTGATGCTCAAGCACTGCTTGTTGCTTCATGGAAGTACTGTTGTTCGCTATGTTGTTATGAGTCTCGTTTGCTTCTGTGCTATTGCTTGCTTGTTTGTCCGCTTCCGTATTTCTTCATTTGTGCGTGCGTCAGTGTGCCTGAACGTATGAATGCCAACAAGAAAGGAAGCTGGCAGCAGCGGGTTTTGGAAGACTTCTTTCGTATTGAAGGCCCCTGGTCCACTTCCATGATTGTTGCAAAGAGGGTAGCCTCCTGTCCAGTAACATGGAGCCTCACTGATGGGTCCTGGAAGGCTATGTTCCTTTCAAATCGGCCCTCGGTGGGTTCCGGCGAAAACTCCAGAACAATTTTACACAGGACTTGAGGTTGACTTTTGTTGAGGTGGAGCCCAAATATGCAGAGACAAGAACTCAAGCCAATTGCCATTGGGAGGCCAAAGAGTCAGTTGAGTGGGGTTGCCAAAGAGTTCCTCCACTGGAGGGTATTGAACGTCCGGGTCTATGCGCGGTTTCCGGTTTTCCATGGCCAGGCCCTGTCAGTGGTGGACAAGAACTGGGACGGAGAGCTCAACTTTGAAGAGCCGCTCGGTGTCAAGCGACATGATTTCGGTGTTCAATCCATCCATTTGCTCGCGTACTCACTCCCGTTCGAGTTCTTGGGCTTGAAACTTTTTGGGCTTGGAATATCTCAGTGGTAAATGAAAAGGCTCTGAGGGTTTTTGGGCCAGCCTCGTTCGGAAGTGAGCTTAAGTGGAATCGGGGGAGGTCCCGGCAATTTCGTGTTTAGTTCTATGTGGTCGGGTCTGCTTTTAGTGGACCCCCCAAAATGGTGGGTTTTCTCCCGACCCATGTTCCCTTTGTGGGGATAAATAACTCAAATTTGCTAACCCTTTTGCCAGAAAGCGCATGGAACCGAAGATTCCCACTCGGTCACTGCTTCCACTCCAGATCCGGGAGATCTTAAGTTCCGTGTCGCCGTGTGTCGGAGTAATGCACTTCTTTCTGAGCAGCATCAGTATATGAAGCTTTCTGAAAATAAACCTTTGTTGGATAGTGTTCGCGGGAAACCAAAAAGAGACACCCAAATAAGTGTGTCACCCCCGTTCTGAGAAACACCCATAAAGGTGGATAGGTTTGGGCTATTTGGTTAGATCTTGAGACTTTGTATTTTTGGCAACCGTGGATTTGCCATTGGACACAAGAGAGCCTTGTTGCAGAGTCTCGACAGCCACCAAGTACGTCAAGCAACAAGCCGGCCTCCTGGCAGGCAGTCGCTTCAGTGGACAAGCATTGTTCTAGGGGCTTGATTCCTTTTCCATTCTTTTCAACCATCGTTCTTTTTCCAAAAACCGGATCCGATTTCCCTGGGTTTCCGGAGGTTTTCTAAGATTCGGATCCCTGGAAAGAATGGGGCAGGTACCCCTAGATTTGTGATCGAAGTGAAACGCGTAGCTTAGCCGTGCAGAGTTTTGTTGTTGCCTTGCCCTCCTCTGATGCAACGCCATCAACCCAACTCAGGGTGCCAGTGGAAATCGATCAAGCCCATGCTGCACTACAAGACATGGACGCGCTAGAACGACAATGCAACAAGCAGTCATCGACTCCCGAAGCTTCTTCACCAAATTGCTGTGGGTCAAAAATAATTGGGTAACCCCAAAATGGAACCCTTGTAAATGGCCACATGGACTAAAAACAGGGGTCCGATTCCTGGTGGCGTTGATTCTGACCCATACCCAAATGGATGTGGCTCAAAATGAAACAGCTGGTTTTGGTTGCGCAGGTTTTGGTCCATGCTTCCACTTACCAATTTCTGGGTACCATTTTTTGTGAGTACCAATTTGTGGGTACCAATTTCTGAGTACCAACAGCTAGATTTTGGGGTTGCCCCCAATTTTTGAGCCACCGCCAAATCGGGGCGAAGCGGGCTTCGCCTCTCAGGATGTGCTGCTTCCTGGCGGTGTACCGCGGCTCTGAGGGCTTCACAAAGGATGAGGCCGATGCGATGCATTTGGGGGGGGCACCAAGTGGTGGGTTCGGTGAGCTGCAAGTAGTTGTGGTCATAGGTGTCCTTTTTAGGTTATTTTGGTTGGAAATAGATGGGTTCCACTGGTTTAGGTTGGTTTATCCTATTGGCCAGGGCCATCTATTTTCCAAAAAGGACACCTATGGTTGTGGTGGTCAAAACCGTTTTGGGATCCAACTTTTTGGGTAGGTGAATTCACCACCCATTGTAGAACCTATTTTAGTGGGGATTGAATCGGATGTTCACTGGGGGCTAACCGGGCTTTTGACCCATGGCCAACTGTGTTTTGCTCAAAATTGGGAAACGGTCGACTTCTGGTTGGCGATTAAGACCAAAGCGAATAAACTGTTGTGATGTGTTGGCAATTTCAGCATGGACTTCCTGACTGCGCGTCCCAAGCACAGGTTTTTGGCGCGGACGAAACCTCGTATGTCCAATGTAGCTTACTCGCAACATGAGTGCTTTGCCAGAAAACAGTCACACCCCGTTCAGGCGCGATGTGTGTGGGTGAGCATCGTGGTTGAGATTTGCACGTTCTAGACATTGACGCCTGATCTCCGGTGGCTGTGAGTGTGGGTCTCACCTTAAAGCGGAGGTCAGGGCCTTGTGTTAAGGTGTGGGGATTCTTTAAGCGGAAGTCAGGGCCTTGTGTCCAGCCTGGAATCCCTCACAGACTTGAAGCATTCTTGACTTGCGGCACAGCCCTCCAGAAGGGATGGCTCTTAGCGGCTCTTTCGGAACGCCGATCGCAGGTCACCGGCCTGCAAGAGCTCTTCGACTCCACGGCGGTGGTTCCTAGCTTAGAGGACGCGGTGGTACGGTCAAAGGACGCGTAGGCCAAGTCTTCTCCTAGCTTAAAGTCAGTTAAGTGGTACGGCAAGTGGTTCCGCGTAGGCCAAGAGATCTTGTCTTCCAGCTGATGCTAGTTCTGTGGGCCTCACCGGTGCCACTTGCTCTACTTCTTGCTTCAAATTAGCGCACGGACCCTCTGGAACTAGCCGGAAACTTATGGATTGCTGGCAAAATAATTATGGGCCTGAACCAGCAAAGCACAAGTTGCGACGCGGATGCAGTTGCAGTGAGTCACAGGAAAGAAGAGGCTACGACTGTCCAACTTCCAAGGGAGCGCAGCGCCGTTGAGTAGAAGCATCCCCCGCCTGGATCTTTCAACGAGAACAGCAACACAGCACCATTCAATGGAAGCATCCCACAAACCGTGCGCATAGTGGACCCACCCCCTCCCCAAACCCCGGTGTTTGCCAGTGGGTGCATTCCATGTCGAACGACCATGGGCCTATGCATACGTATGCATGCATTTTCACAGGGGCACAAAGGCGCCAGAAGGGGAAGGCAAGCTTTCAAATGTTCTTGCAGGGTCCCGGGCTGCTGGACAGAAGCGAGTCTGCATGTCAGATTGGACTGCAAGGGGGCTGCAAGCCTGGCGGTAATGGTACCCCATGGGCAGATTTTCAAATTACACCACCAGGACAAAAGTTGTGCCTCTTGGGCCTTCTCAGGTTATTCGCGGTCGAATTGTCACACTCCAAAGCCTTTGAAGTATTTTAAATTTAAAAGAGGGTGATAATTGATCGTCCCACTCCTGCCACATAAAAAAGAGTTGGAAATTCGATCCGCGGGTGATCCACACGGCTTTGCAGAAACCATCAAGAGGCATAAACGTTTGTCTGTTTGATGTATATTATTGAGGAAACATAGCAAGGTCCGCGGAGCAGGTGACTGCTGCTTGGGCAACCTGCCTCCCACATCAATATCAGAGAAACCTGCGGGTAAAGTTTCCAGGGGAACGTGCAGGTTGCACCAGAAGCATGCTACATCGTTCAGCGCTAAGGTCGAGAAGGTGGTGGAGAAACCAGGACATTGAGGGGTTGCTCGGCTGGCATCCGCTCTTGTCGGCGCCAGACGGATGCAACGTCTTGTGGATAGCTTGGTAGGTCTAAGTTGTCAGCCGGTGGCAGGGATCCATGCTCAAAACTTCCCCAGAGTTTGTGTTCCCCTTTTTACTTGTGTTTTGCTTTTTTGAGGTCCCCTTTGTTTTCCTCTAGCCAGGCAAAAAAAAACATTATGTTTTTTGCTGGGGTCCGGTTTTTCCAGCCAAGAAAACATCAAGTGCCCAAGATCCTTTCAGCTCCTTCCGCCAAGCCGCGTTTCTTTCACCGGTTGAAGCGAACCCAGGCCGACAGTTCCTGTTTCATGATTGTTGGGAGGAAGCAGTTTTGTTTGTTTTGTTTTTTGGTTTTGGGGGGTGGGAAATCCAACCCCTTGGCGAATTGAAATGTTTGCTCCCCTTCCAGCGTCAACCAAGGTGTCCTCCGGCTTTTCTTTTGCCATCCCGGTTGAAAGAATCGTTCCTCCAGAGCTGCTGCGTGTTCCCGTTTCGCCAGGACGCAACGAGCTGCGGGAGTTCCCAGCGGGATGGTCGCTGCAATTCCTTCGGGGCCGGAAGAAATTTCCGGTGCTTTGCCGCTGTAGGTAACCCTTGGGGATCCGTACCCGAGGTTTGGGTGATTTTTTTGCCAAGGGCTGTTAGGACTGACTCACTGTTTGCCCTTGTTTTTCCGTACTAAACACACTAAAAGTTAGCTAAACTTTTAGCAGGGCTTCGCAGATCTCGCCACCGAGCTGTTGGTGTTACTTGATTTCTATGGGCTTGGGAACTTTAGACTTTAACTCACTTCCTGAGTTCATGAACTTTAAACTTTTAAGGGTTTGGACCATTTTAGTGGTAAATATAAAGTTTGGTTACTTTTTTTGGGCCATCCACTCAGGAAGTGAGTAACATCACAACAATCTGCGCTGCCTGCCCAACACGTTTTTTTGAGCTGGCGTGCATGTATGCACTGCGTACGTATCGCAGAGGCTGCAGGTTTCTGAATGATCTATGACACGCAGCCGCATCCTGCTGTCTCTCTTGATACTCTTCAGTCGATTATCATGCGTTGCACGAAGCTTCGATCGCAGTGCGTGCCATCGCAAGTTATGTGTTCAGCGCAGCAAGTTTACGCGGAGAAGAGCAAACAAACCGATCATCAAGATTCGTTCCTTGAGGATCCCTCTGTCTCAGGCGAAACACTTCACCATGTTTGTGTATTGTTCCTTGTTTGCGTGCTTCTGTGTTTTTTTGTGTTTAGGTTGTTTGGTCAGGTTCCATGTTTATTCCCAAAGACTCCATGTACACAATATTCATCCACACCTACCTTCTGAATTGGTGAAATGTTCGAAACAACCTACATGCACCCTCTGAATTGGCAAAATGCTGGAAAAACAACCACCAAACCTACCTGGAAAATTGGTGACCATGCCAGAATCAAAGCTCCCTGGGATTCTCTGGGCTTGGGGCTGCGGCGGAGGGGGGCGCGAAAGACGCGGGGCTCCGATGAGTCGAGTCGAGGCCTCCGGAGCCGAAGCTGGCGGGGAAGTTCTTGCCCAATCTGCTGATCCAGGCCGGGCTTGTTTTCTCAATGAGCTGAGGCGGACGCTTGGAGAGTGGGTTGGAGTGGAGTGGCTGAACAGCCCCTGGGGCCAACTTGAGGCCTTGAGGCGGTTTTTTGTTTGTTTTTAATTTGTTTTGTGTTTTGAAGCGCTTCAGGGGTGGTTTGGTTTGGATTGGGTGGTTTTGAGCGCCTTAAGGCTTTGGGACTTGTTTTGATTTGAACCTCTTGAGGGTTGGTTTGGTTTGTTTTGATGGCTTTGGGATTGGGGGGCCCTCGTTTCGATTGGCATCAACAAGCTGGACCGCAGGAAGTCGCGGGATGGATAATTATTGCCCCCGCAAGGAAACGAGCCAACTGAAGCCAAGTATCCATTCGGAATGATTTCCAGACTCTTGGCGTGAGGGACAAGGTTGAAGATGTGTGGTTGGGTGTGTCCTACGAATGGACTCCGTTGTTGCTTCCCTGTCGTTGTCGTTTCGGATGCTCTGAGTTTGAGCCGAGGTGTCGCAACTGCTGCTTGATTATTTGCTGAGCCAAATGCCACTGTGGCAAAATGAAATGCTTGGCAACAGGGCGGCACCAATTGTCCGACAGTTCATTCGCTGGAGAACCCAAAGCGCGCCTGCAAGCGCAGTAGGTTGGGCATGTATTGCAAAAGGAGAGGAGACGTGAGGGTGTCACGATGTTGATGACTTTATTGTCTTTTTCCTTTTTTTGTTGGGGGGGGGTGCAAAGCGCAGGGTAGTCACGTTTGCCATCCAGCCTGCCAGCTGCATGAGGTTTCTTGGGCTACACAGGCAGTTTCCTTGCCAACAAAAGGAACCGCTCATGGCTCGCATGCGTCAAGGAACCGGCATGCGCCAGAGTGAATGTTGTGGTGGATGCATGTCAGGTCAGAGTATCTCTCGTGCGGGGATGGCTGGAAGCATGGCGCGCAGGCATTTGGGATGCAAGTGGCAGACAACGTGCAAGAGCCCGGCGGCCTAGGCTTTCCGAAGGAAGGCTGACATCTTACTATTTCAATTCGGTTGCTTTGCTGTAGGGTTGTGGGATCAAGGGGTTTATCCCCACTTCTGTGATACAAGGGAATCTCCCCCTTTATATGGGGGGTTAGTCTTGATGATTCCTTTTTTGTTGTATCACAGAAGTGGTCATTTCCCACAGTTCTGCCTTGCTGTGCTTTGCCAATGGCATGGTTGACTTGTTGACGTTTTGCTTGCTTGAGTCACGGAAGCCACTATGAGTGACGTTGGGCTTCAGGTTGCCTCATGCTTTCTTGCATTCAGAACATGCAGCCTTAATATGTTGGTACCCAATTTGTTGTGTTGTATGGGCTGAATTCCTTCACAAGTGTCAAACGCTGAGCAGGGGTTTGCTACAGGAGTTGTTCATCTTACCTCATTGTGCCGCGAACGGACACGGGTCCTCGAGTCCTGCGAGCACAAGCGACGGTTCCGCAAGAAGCAGTAAGTGAGTCACTTTTAGGGGGGATCTGAAAACGGGCAGCCCAGTTTAAATAGCGGTTCAATCTTTGCCCGTTGCCAGCTTGAGCTGTGACAAGGAAGTCATATCCATGTCATCAAGTAGTGCCATTTTGCCGTTTTTGTTTTTTCTCCGATCGAATGAAGCTGAGTCAGCCAATCTGTTCGAACTCGAACCTGTTCGTTGGAGGGAACCATGGCCGGAGACTGGGGCATGGCTTCAGGGGTCAAGCTACAGCTGGAGGGCTTTTCACCGCAATTGCTGCATCTGGGCCAGTGCTTCCAGTTCCTATAGCCCCATCGGGATCCTGACCTATCCTGACCTCTAGGTTTCACATGGCACTGTTTTCCCCAAAAAACAAGGTACCTGGGGAAACCCCCGGCCTGGAAGGAAGCACTGGGCTGGTCCACCGGAATCAGAAACGTCATGTGGCTGCAAAGTAGGTCTTCGCCCGGTGTCTCTATGGCAACTTTTGTAGGAATTTAGTTCCCAAAGATCGTTCATGACTTTGCTCAGGCTTCAGCAGATGCTGGCTTCAGGCGAGGGGAGGGGGATATTGTAATCATGGCTACCCATGGAGAAGGCAAGCGAGGCGACAAGACTTCAGCACAATGTGCTTTTGTCAGGTTAGCTTGGTTGAGCATGATCTAGACGGCGCTGGTTTCAGTTTGTTGTTAACTTATCAAAAGGACGGCGCAAGCCGGTGTGGATCTTTGAATTCCATACTGTGGATGGACGAAATCCTGCACCACCTGAGAAACCATGGGAAGCCATTGTTTGTTGGTATTTACAGGGGAATCATTCATTCCCTGGTTTCTTAGGTGGTGCGAAATGGATTTTGTCCATCCACAGTAGGATTCCTCTATTTGTGGATTTTTGAACTGCTGTTGTCCTGGGGCAATCGCATGCATCGCTCACTTGTTCAGTGGCGCAAGAAGTCTCCCACGCCGAAAATATGCAGTTTGGTTGCTGGGGGACTGGTTGATACTGGTTTCTACCATGGGTAGACCAACTGGGTCAACGTATGGATCTTACATCTTCGCCCTAGGAAAAGGTGTCTATCCTAGTTATAGGGTTGAACGATGACCAAGCCAAACAAATGAAGGCCACTACCAGGAAAAAAACCATTTGAGGTCTCACTTGCCCAAACCGAATCGACCTTGATCTGACCTTTTTGCTTCCCCCAAACTTTTTTCGTCATTGCCCCAAACTGTTAACCGTTCTTTTCCAGACTCACTTCCTGAGTTCATGAACTTTAAACTTTTAAGGGTTTGGACCATTTTAGTGGTAAATATAAAGTTTGGTTACTTTTTTGGGCCATCCACTCAGCAAGCGAGTCCAAGTCCAAACTGGGCAACTGGGCTGATGGTCAGACCAAAGACGCCCCTAGCCGCAGGCCAAGGCTTCAGGAAGACTGCCACCAGCGACGCGGGCGAGGGCTCCGAGTCGGGCACTCGGTGTCTCGCCGCGGGGTTTTTGGCGAGCGCAACCCGAAGAAGCGTGCCAAGCAGCCGCGACAGAGTTTTTCGCATTTTGTTCCGGGGGCGAATACGCAAATGGAAGCAACAGGGTTCCAGTTTTGGCCGCGAAATCTGGCAGTTTCGCTCTGAGGACCGCCACCATCAGCTTCAAGGAGTTTCTCATCTTGGCGCGCAAGACCCGGGAGGCGCAAGCTGTTTGCCTGAGGGAATTGGCATCCGATGCCTCAAGGTGTCCAAGTGGCTGGGTGTGGGATGCGCTTGTTTTCTTTTTCCTAGGGGTACCTTAGGAATCCATCAAAATCCCAGGGGAAACGGCTGGTTTTTGAAAAGAACGATGGTTGAAAAAGAATGGGGAATCAACGCCTAGATTTGTATGTTTTCGGGAGTGGGGTGGGGCAAGGAGCAAGCGAGGCAGGAAATTGTCAGGGACAAACAATCGACATGAGAGCTGTTCAATACATTGCCAGAAAGAAACCTGTTGAACGAAAAGCCAACATGGACATTGTTGTTCGGGAATCCAAATGCTGTATCGCAATAGACTGCGCTGTGTCGTTTGTTGTGGGACTGACCACCAACTCACGATGGAGCCGCGCACGAGTATGCTTTGCATGCTTGAAGCCACATCCAAGCTGAGAACAAGAACAGCAATCAAGGCGTGCCATTCATGGCTTAGGGCAGCTGGAAACCATTGTGGCCTTCAATGTGCAACTATCATACACTGCGCTCTTTTCGAGCAATGACGGTCAATGTCTGTTTTTTTTTTTTTTTTTTTTTTTTTTTTTTTTTTTTTAAAAAAATATATATATATATATATATGTTTTTCGTTTTGATCATGGGTATAATCAGGTTCAGAGTCAGACCGCTCCAGCTGAATCGCAAAGCTTCCTCGGTTTCTTGGTCCTGACATCCCCACCCTTCAAAACGGAATTGGGGGAGAGGGGTTACCCCTGGAATTCCATTTATGGCGCCATTTTCCCTTTTTTGTGGGGAAGAGTAGATAGATGGAATTGGGGGACCTCCCACCCCCCTCCCCCTGAAGTTAGGGGGGATGTCCCAACTATTCGTACAGAGGGTACGCTAGTGAAGCATCATTCACCCCGCACCTGTGCAGATGGAGATGATTCAGCTGTCGAAAGAGATGCCAGGCGGGAACAGATGGATTGAAGCCATTTGGCTGTGGGTCAAAAATAGGGTAACCCCCAAATGGCAGTTGCCCTGGCAAGTGGAAAGATGGACCAAAACCTGTGGTCCCCTGGTGGTTTTAATTTTGAGCCATACCCATTTCTGCTTCTTTGGGCTTTTCTCCAAGTCGGCCAGGGTGGATAAGTGGGAGGGGCAGTTCTTGTCTCCCTGTTTCCCGAAGACCACATGAGCCACAATCAAAACCCGGGTAGATGAAGGTTAGTAAGGGATAATCCCAACCACAAATGGCTGCACCCTGGATCTTTAAACTGCAACTTTTTTGGAATCATTTGGGGTCCCCGTTGGACCCACAAGTGGAGAACTTTTTGCAGAGGAGTCGTCGCAGCGACCGAACTTCTAGGGATGAATTCCCCATTCTTTTCAACCATCGTTCTTTTCAAAACCCAGATCTGTTTCCCCTGGGATTCCGGAGGTGTTCGAGAAAGATTCTGATCCCTGGAAAGAATGGGGAAGGCACCCCTAGAAAAACAACCATTTGGAACCATTCGGCGGTTTGGTTTGGTTTGTTCTCCGGGAAAGCACCCATCTATCCGGAGGGCTCGACTCCCTAGAAAGTCGTCTTTTCCCCCTGTCCCGAAGACCACACATCCGACCTTGTGCTTCGGATTCAGGCAGTGCCCAGACTCGCGCGCGCCAGGCATGCTGAACACGCCGGCGCGCGTCGGAACCTCGGAAGCTCAAGACGCCAACTGGCGCGGCCCTTCCTTGAAAAACACACGCATTCCATGGGTGTGTCTTTTTTCAGGTAACCCCCACAATTTTGGTTGTCCGTATAGTTGTTCCTTAAAGCCACCCAAAAGGGGTACCCTGGACCCAACATGTTGTTTGTCCGTATAGTTTTGCTTTAACACCATTAAACAAAAGGGGTACCCTCAAACAAAGACAGGCCGATTGGATTGACATAGGACATCATACAAGTATGACACAATAGAATGGAAGCGATCATGCTACGATGACGACTTTCTTCTGTCCTTGCATTCGGGTTTGCTTTGCTTGATAGGGATGCATCGGTCGGAGGCCTCGGTTTGTTCGGTTCGTTGTTGTGTTGCATTTATGCCCTGCGTTTCTTGCAAAGCTGACCACATGCAGTTCTTCCCCAGGATGGCAGGGAGAGAACTCACTTTCCATGAGCACCTAACAAGCGCGTAGCATTGAGAGCACTGACCAAGTACCGGATTTTCTATATGACATCCGTGCCTTTAGACTGAGGGCGCGACTGGCGACTTTCAGAATGCAGCCGTGGACTTGGCAGCTGCAGTTTGCTTCTTGAATTTGCGGGTCCTTGTTGGTATGCCCAAAGTGGAGCTGTCGTCAGGTTGAATGTGCGTCGCGCAACCGGCGAGGTACATTTGGCTGGACATGCGAGTCGCATGCTTGTCTTTGCGGAGGAACATTTTGGAGTGCCCCATAACCATGGTCAAGATGATGCAGAGTGTTAGTTTAAGGGGTGTTGGTGACGGATTGTCCCTATCGGCTTTTAATAACTTGTCCAATGTCTTCGGAGATCAATCGACACCATTTGTTCACACTTGGGTGTGTTGTTTTTAGGGGACCCCCAGGAATTGTGAGCTCCCTGTTGGCATCCCTTTAAAACAACGAAGGTAAGGTACCCTTAAACAAGACAGACCCACTTTTCATTGCTTCGAACGCGCTTGTGTTGGCACATGCCGCTGGTTGCACTTGGATCCCATGTTGCCTCAGGATGCGGCCAGGTTCTCAGTGAAGCGGCCGCGGCACTGCCTGGTTTCCCCGCCCGTGCAAGTTGTCTCTGAATAGGGGGCCCCTCTGAAGGGGCAGTTTTACATGTTTTGCCTTTGGCTCCCTTTTAAACTGGCCCTCAAAAGTGAGACTCAAGAGTTACAGTCAGGTGTGGACGGTCTCATCGACTGCGTGTGGTCACTTGTCAGTGGCTCCTGAGAATCCGGCTGGGAGGCGATTCGGTTGCCATCTTGCCACCACTGGAATGAGACGCGTTGCCGACCCCGTTTTCTGCCTCCCTGCTCCTGTTGGAATGGTCAACCAAAAGGCTTTCCCCCCACGGCCAGTGGAACCAGGCAATTTCCGGTCACGTAGCTGCAAGTGCGCACTGCGGGCGTGCGCGGCTTCGGACACCTATTCCTTTGACTCGGAAAGCATTTACCTTCATGTCATGAAGGTAAACTCGACATGCTTGTAGAACATGATGATCAGAGGGTGCTGGACCCTTATGCTTTCTAGATTGCAGACGGAAGTCCATTCTGTGGGCAGCCAGCCAGTTCAGGATGGAAGCGGCACCATTTCGGCGATCGAGCTCTTCAAGTTTCTTGAAGGCGGGGCCAAGCTTGCTGCATCCTCGTGTCTCGAGACTGTGCTTTGCGGCTTGACTCGACTTGGCTGACATCTCCGGGCGCATGCAGGCACTCCATGACTGTCATGGAGTTCCTTCAAAGTCGGGATTTCCCCCTATGGATGGAGGGGCACCACAAGCTCACCATTTTCAGGGCGCCTGAACAGGGCTCCTTAAAAGATACATTTTGCACATGTGAAACACGGCTTTTTGCACCAAAACAAAGGGAAACCACCATTTACATTTACAAGGCAATGTTCAGGTGTATAATGTAAGGATCCCTGTTGAAGCACCATGCATGGCAGGCAAGGAGTTCACTCCGATGAAGAAGGCCGGTGCCGCTGGCGTTCTGCTGTCTTTGGGGTTCAGGTAGCTTGTCGTGCGTGCAAGGCCCATGAAAAAGATCGCAGGGCCCTGCACAATTTGCATGATGGGCCAGACAAGTGTCGTTTGCCTTGAATGTGTCTATGCAGCACGAGGTTCGGGATTGGACTTGACAAAACAACATTGCATGTCTATCTGCTGCCCCATTCCCCCCCAAAAAAAAACAAACAGAACTTCTTTGCCCCCCAGCAACAACCACTGCTTTTTGGGGAGCACTTGGGAGTTACATGGGAAAAAGCAGTTGGGCGCAAGGTGCTCAGGATATGACTCGCTCGCGGCTTGAGCCCTTCTGCAGGTTGTGCGGGAGATTCTGCAAGATGCAGCCACGACCTTGGCGCTTGGAACGCCTCATCCCGAATCGACGGAATCTGACCTTTCGGTTTCCCCTCCACTTTTGGGCAACCATGTTCATTGGCCCCCAAAAGTCCGGCAGGTGTTTGTCTTGTTGGTAACCATTTGTGTTTTTTGGACCCCAGAAGGTCTTGTCATGTCCGGGTCCCACTGGGCAACTCAGTCACTGTTTGAAGGAAGCCTTTGGGGGCTTTGCTGTCAATGGCAAATGTCCCTGGCACTCGACTCGGATTGGCAACACACTAACCAGGAAAAGCACTGAAGGGCCCCCCCCCCCTCGCCCGCCCCCCCCTCCCCCCCTCCCCCCCCCCCCCCGCACACGGGGCGCCTGGGCGGGCGTCTGTCGACAGGCAGCCGAGTCCTTGGACAAGGGCGAGGAACTGGCGCGGTGCCAAGCTCGCATGGGATGCCTGTGGCTTTTCGCTTGACTCCAATTGGGTAACGGATCTTTAGACTTTTTCTTTTTGGTTGAAATCGAGGGGTTTTCCACTAAACCCCCAAAAAGTTAAACTTTTTGCAAGGGGGGCCAGCAGTAACCAAGTTTGCGGATTCCATCGAACGGCTTGGGTAGGTAGAACCACACAGCCAAACCTAGAGGTAGCGATTCATAGTGAAAAGATACCTACTATAGTGAACTGATGGGTTTTGGCGGGTGACCTGCACTTCCATCAGACTGAAGGGTCACCTACTTTTGTGGCGAAACGCCTGAAAGCACTGGTGTTCGCTTATGTATGTTCCCTGCGTTGTTTAAAGGGAATCTATCACTACTGCTTAGTTTTTTTGTACATGGAGGTTTTGCAAAGGCCAGTGATAGATTCCTTTAAAAAGGCCAGCAGGATATTTTGTTTCGAATCGAGAGGAGGTTTTTCCTTGTCCCACTTCCTGAGTTCCGTTTCGGACTTTAGTCATTGTTTTGGGTTGGGTTGCCATTTAAGTGGTAAATAAAACGTGTGTGTTTTTCTTTGGCCAATCCACTCAGGAACTGAGTTATGCCTTGACGTTTGGAGCATTTAGCAATGTTTTGAAGCTGTTGATAAACCATGAATCTCATATGGTTTGCTCAAGAAATATGTGCGGTGGATCGGCATGCTTGGAGCGACACGCTTCTTCGTGATGCAGATGGAACTCCTCCATTTGCTTAAGAATATGCTTTTATTTTCCCTTTTTGGTTCTAAAAAGTACTTTATCACTAGTGGCAATATGTTTTTTTTCTTTCTGGGGCCTTAATCAAATGGAAGAACTGCGATTCTTGTTTCCTTTGCGACGACTAGCATGTAGACAAAGCAACACCGGATGTCACTGATTAGATCACCGACCAGTTTGGACACTTCTGAGCACCTGGATGGTGAAATATGGTCAGCATATGGGATGAATGCCAGGTCAACACTTCCAGCATCCGGTTAGTTTTCTTCGTGAGGCCCTTTGTTGCAAAAGCAACATTAAGAGGTGGCCGTTTGACCCAGATAGTACAACTTCTTCCCCACCCCCTTGAATATTGAATTGGAGGGAAATGGAGTGAGCACTGGAATTCTATTTATGGTTCCATTTCCCTATGGGGAAGGCTGCATAGATGGAATTGGGGACCCCCCACCCCCCTGTATTCTATATGAGTGTTGCAGCATGTAGCTGGGCCTGGTCCGAGATCTATCATGGAACCAGTTTCCAACTGCAATGGCTTCAGTGCCATAACTGGCTCCTTCAAGGCTGCCCCAGAGATCTCCAGAGCATGTGGCATTGCTGCGGGCCGGTTGGCCACATGAAAGGTAGCAGAGTCATGTGCGGAAGATACTGTAAGCTTCGACTTGTCCAGCTTGGAGCAAAACAGGATATGGTTGTGAGCAGGTTTCAGCTGCACATTTCTTGAAACGCCCAAGGACTTCAATCAGTTCTTTGACTTCCTGCGCCTTGGCGTTGTAATTTGCTGCAGTGGAGTTGCCAGTTGGCTCCCAGGTATTTGATGTGTGATTCGCGTTGGTTCTGTATGCACGCATGACCAATAACCAATAATACAAGGATGTGTTCCTGCAGAGAGACCACAGCCACTGAGTTTGCCGCCATGCGCTGAGCTCAAAGCCGTTTTCCTTATGGCGATTTTTTTCAGATCTCTGGACTTTATAACTTGTTGGTTGAATGTTGGTTGAAACAGGTGGGATGTTCCAAGCTTTCGAGTCTTTTAGGGGCAGAGCTTTTGATTTATCGGGGTTTGGTGGGAGGGGGCGGCCTCAGACTGCATCGTAAGAAGAGATCTTTACCTGCAAGTTTGGAACTTGCGTTGACGGTGCTGGGCTGCAGCTTTCCTCCACCTCAACTCTCAAGTGTTCTCAGCTGGCACGGTCGTTAAGTTTTTTGGCAAAGGCAATTGGCCATTTTGACAAACTACACGCAGGCCCCAAGCTTTGCGCATGTGTGTGAGTGACGGCCCGCCAACCCGACTTGCATCCTGCATCCTTTTCGCTCTTTTGTAGGCTGCAAATATGACCTAGGGTCAAAGGACTTGAGTGTTTGGTAGTTGCTTTAGGCGCAGTCATGTAAGACCACACCGCTCATGTGGGATGTAAGGCCACCGTGGACGGGGAGCTAATTTATTTAGGAGCACCCTGACAGCTAGGTCCCCCCAGTAGTGCCCTTCTCTCCCCTTTTTTGGTTGGGAGGGTTCACCTACTAAAATAGACTACAGACAAAAGAAATGGTGGCTTATTCTATCCTCTCTACTGGAGGACCTAGGCAGTGACTGCGACCTACCAGGAGGGGCAGACTAGAAGAAAGGCGACCAAAGATGCAAGGTTTGTCTACCGGCAGCGGGACGGCTTTTCCAAGCAGGAGGCGTGGGGCAGACCATGCTTGTGGCTCTTCGATTCCATTGCCGTGTTGGTGACTTTCTTTTGGAAGGAGGATAACGCGCGGTTTCATGGTTAATTAACTTGCTGGTTCTCATGAGGGAATGAGGGAATGACCCCTATAAACCATCCTCTATGGCCTTCTTTAAGGGAATCCCTAGGTTCATTCCCAACACCCGGAAGGTCATTCCCTTCTGACACCAGAGTGACCTTTGCGGGTGTTGGGTACCGGATGTTGGGCCTCAGCCAAATCATTATAGCACACAGCTCCGGAACTGTCACCAGCACCAAGCAGGACTTGCTGGACTGCTTTTGAATTGAAGATAGACATAGGGTTGCCACAAGGGGAATCAGGCATGGACGATTTGTCATTTCCAGCTACCTGGCCGCAGGTGGATCAGTTCCGCAAGGGTTTCGACGAGTACGATGCCGCCGGCGCCTCATGAATGGGCGTGAGCCAAAGCAGCGATTGCGGTTCCACCCACGCTGAATGAAATGTGCATTCTCTACAATACAGGTGATTGGTTTCCCCCAATTTCCCCTTTCAGCGTCAGAGCATGCAAAATTTTGACACCAAAGCAGTGCAGTGATTGGAATATACATATGAACTTGGCCGACTGTTGCTGGCATCACGAACTCGGAGTTCGTGTCGGGAAGGGGTGGCGGGCTGGATAGCCGCTACCACGGCACTTCGACAAGGTTGCTGTGAGTCAAACATTGTGCGTGGTTCCAGAAAATTGACTTCGGAATTCGACTCATCTCACAAACACATTGATCCAATTGCAAAGGATGATCAGCTAGTAATTTTAATTATGATGCCCATTTGTCCGCCATTCTTCGCGGGAAGTTCCCTTGAGTGGCTTCGCAGTCACTGTTAACCCGCTTTGGGCCCAGCCAAAGCAAAACCAGAAGATTCCATAGCTCGGGTCCACCTTTGCCCGAGCTCGTCGTTACTCAAACGGCAGCCACATGTTTTTCGCTTTTTAGGAGCCCCTGCCATGCCCACCCTTTGAACATCGGGGTGCAGCCCTGGAAGTACAGGTTCTCACTTTGTGGGTTGCGAAGAAAACAACAAACGTAACCCAGTGCTTCCAGGCGTTTCGCCACTATAGTGGATAAACCATTAGGATGGCCACCGGGTTCATCCTGATTTCCCTAGTTACCCACTAAAGTGGCCACTCGAATGGACCTGGGCGACGTGAAAATCTCAACGCGCCGCGTTAGGACAGCAGCGGCAGCATCAGCACTTTGGAGCTGAGCCTTACGCCCAGAACGGATCGAGTGGATGAGGTGAAAGTGGATCCGAGTCTGAGGAACTCCTTTGGCTGGCTGGTTGGTTGGTTGGTTGATGATGGTTGGTTGGTTGATGATGGTTGGTTGGTTGGTTGGTTGGCTGGCTGGTTGGTTGGCTGGCTGGCTGGTTGGCTGGCTGGCTGGCTGGCTGGCTGGCTGGCTGGCTGGCTGGTTGGTTGGTTGGCTGGTTGGCTGGTTGGACCTCCAAAAGCGGCAGTTTCAATTGAGCACCGACAATTTGTAACTTTAGGAAATCCTCTGACCCCAGAGCAGTTTAGGGTACCTGGACCCTCAAGCTTTTTATAGGAAAGGGAATTCACAAAAAAACAGTTTTAAGTAGGAAATGGCGCGAAGGGGGTGAGAGAGAGAGAGAGAGAGAGAGAAAGCGAACCCATTCTTAAGTTGGAGTTTTGAGGGTCCAAGTGTAATATACATGGCTTCCACGCTTCGGCTCCAGGCAACATCTTCCGGGACTTCGGGTACCGAGCCCTGCCCTGAGGAAAAAGGCTGTCCGATGTGCTCGACATATTGGGTGTCTCGTTTCTTAGGTTGGACCCCCCTTAAATGGCGCTGCGGCTTCCCTTTAAGAACCACCAAGAAACGGGTACCCTCAAAAAGAGACACGCACACACACACACACACACACACCTCAGGAAGGGGACGCCCCAGTTGAGTGCTTTTCTCCTCGTGTTCGTTCAGTTCGACGGAGAAATTGGCAACACGAAAAGGGCAGGCCTGTTCCCGCCCTCACAACGAGGGAGCTGCAGTTTATTGTCAATTTAGTCACTTTTTGTTTCACCGCCTGAGATATACCAAATGCCATTGGACGAGGGAAAAGAAAAGTGTTTAAGAAACCTACTTCACATATCTTGTCTCAGGGTGAGTTTGGGGAAGATGGGGGACGGGGGCTCTCCAATGCTCGAACAAAATCCAGGCGTCTTGGGGACACCAGTAATATTGTTTGCTGCTCCCAACAGAGTGCTGCTTGCATAGGTGTCCGTTTTGGTTGGTTTTCTTAAACAAATAGAGGGCCCTGGTTTAGATGGTTTATTCCATTTACCAGGGCCATCTATTTTTCCACAAGGCCACCTATGGCTGCTTGCCTCCAGTTGCATGCTGCATGCCGTGCCAAGATCTCCATGGATACCTTGCGGCACTTCATCGACAAAGTTGACGAGGATGGCTCCAATCAGCCGCTCGGACGGAGCGTGCGATCAGCCGGGAGCATGCGGTTTTACTGCGAACGGCTGAAACCAGCACGGGCCACTGGAACTTATTCGGAAGGGTGTGCGTGCTTGCTTGTCTATTTGTGTGTTTCCGCTAGGCCCCCGATTTCCCAGTGTTTTCCTTCAGCAAACTGCCAAGCAGGGAACCGGCGGTTTCAGATGCTCCGTGCAGCCAAGGCTCGACTTTAGGGAGTCAGGCCCTCAGGAGCTGGTCCTGGGCATGTGGGAAGAATCAGCACGAAGGTAGAGGTCATGTTTATCTTTGTGTTTCCCAGCTCCGGCGTTTCGCTCTAGTAGGCAAGCCTTTCGGTATGGCTAATATGTTAAACATCATGGGGAAACGTTTGGTTACCTACTATATTGGCACAACGGAGCAGTTTAGCTAAATTCGATTTGCTTGGGCGCTTGGGCTTCTCAGCAAACCTTCCTAGACCCAGCGGCATGGACTTGTTGCTTCATAAATGTGTTCGGCACATTTTGGCATCTCGTTGGCTGCGGCAGTACGAGTTTTATTAATTGGAAGCAGCCACCCAACATGGTTGGTGGACAGAACTCCCCCCATGAACATATCGGAAGGGGTCCAAAAGTATGGACACTCAAAGCTAGCGGGCTTCCTTTGGGGACCTTAGTGTGTAAGAGGAGGTAGCCAAATGGTTTTCAGCACCCACTCGGCGTTATGTGCAGAATATTCATGGCCTTGGCGAAGGTGCTTGCTTGCTGGAAGGGGGTCGATTTCGTCAAACCGGGGTGTGTCTTTTAGGGCATGCCCAAGATGGTGAACCGGTTTTCCTTTTTGGTTTCCCTTGAAACCAATCCAGAAAAACAAGGACCCCCAAACCTTTACGGCTAATTGCTTGGATCTTCGGACTTTAACTTGTTGGTCGAAAAGGTTGGATTTTCCATATTACCCACAAAAAGTGGAAAGCCTTTTTCGCAGAGGGGTCTCCCAGAAACCAAGTTAAACCGACCTCCAGTCAGGTGCCATGTTGGTGTGAGGGAGGGTTGTTTTTTTCTTCTGAATCGTTTGAACACATCATTTGACTACTCCATGGTTCAAACCAACCTAATACAGAAAGGGGTACCCCCAAACGGCTTCAGGTTTGTTTTTCTCGGTGGCGCAGAAAGTGCTGCCTTCAAGTTCGAATTGCCGTACCTAGGTTCCTGAGGCTGATGCGCTGGCACCGAGAGCCCCGGGGCCCAGGTCGTTGTTTTTGCTTCATGGGGTTTGGCTCGGGCCCAGGGGCCCACAAACCTCCATGTGCTTAAGAACTTATGTTGTGTTTTCCGGGTTGGTTTTGAAGGACATCTATTGCTGCTGGAAATGGAATTCAGCAAATGGAGGACACTTTTCCGGGGTTTAGGGTCTGTCGCTACCGCCAATTTGCTTAAGTCCTCTAGTTGCCCACATTTTTTCCAGTGGACGTTCAGCAAATGGACCAGCTTGGTGTCTTCCCCTCGCTTCCTGAGAGCTTATGGACTTGAGTCACTTTGTGGGTTTGGCCGCTTGGCCCCATTTTCGTGGCAGAATGTCGACTTCGTATTAGTACACGGGGTCCCCCCCCCTTTCGTATTTTAGTAACACGGCCCCATTTAAACTTAGGTTCACATTGCAAGAAGTTTGGTTACTTTTTCTGGCCAAGCCACTCGTTTGGAAGCGAGTCCCGGTTTGAGCACCCGAAAAGGGCGCCAGAAAAGTACAAATCCATCGTGATACGACCAGATTCAACCAGCATGATGGTCCGTTTGGCCTTGTGGGCTTCCTTCAAAAAGCTGTTTTTTGCTGGCTAACACGGAAGTTTTGACGGGAGGCCTAGGTCTCGGCAAATGAAAAACAAAATTCGAGCAGTTGCATGGAGCAGGGGCTGAGGAGTAGCATGTATCAGCGGCTTCACGTATATCTCACCCGTGCTTCCAGTTGCTATAGTAGGTAACCAGGTATGGCTACCTCTAGGCTCTAGATCATGGCTTTCCCCTGATTATCTACTACCCTGATTATTCACTACCCTCCCACCAATTCACCTGGAGCCCGACGTTTGGGGCGTGGCTTGGACCAGTTTCCTACAGCGACCGTTTCCCGAACGTCAGGTTCCGGGCTGCGGGTTCCCGGAGGGAAGCGCTGGGTCAGTGAGGCGTTGGTTTGCGGGGAGCATCGCTCGGCGCGCAGCGCGCAGCGCGCAGGTCGGAGCTGGACAACTACAAAGCCGCGTTCAGCAGAAGCAAGGCGCGGCGGGAGCCGGAGCTGTGGCCGCCGGCCGCCGGCCGCTGTTGTGCGCAGGTCGGCGTGGCGGTTTCTTTTGGGAAGCCACCCACCGTGAAGGGGGGGGTAATTATTTGAATTGGGTCCTTTCGGGAAGCCAAAATGCCATCATTTGGTTTGGGGGGAGGGGGGGACTTTTTTTTTCACACACACACACACGCACATAATCAACGAAACCAAGGAAGGTTCTGCTTCCTCAGCTGGTCATCAAAATGCGCTGATTCGAAACGTCTCATCGCAATCGCTTTGTTCCGCATATGTGCTGCTCTGTTTTGGGCTCGTCTCCCTTTGCTCTCTGCTATTGTTGCTCTCTTCCCTCGCATCTGTGTTTAGCTCTGAGGAAATGCTTCTTCCTGTTCACCTTGTTTCACACTCTTCTGGCCGCTCTGGCACGTCCAGTGTTCACCCTGCTTTTTGCTCCTGTTCTAGCTCTCGCTTTCTTTTCCTCGTTTTGGCCTTGCTAAGCCTCATGCTGCATGTTTTCCACAATTTGGGCATGATTCAGCATCAATGCTTGCCTCAGTTGAAAAGCTTGACATGGGCTCGCTGCAGGTGCGGCCGTAGGTTGATTTGCTCAGGCAAAGGCGGGCTTGAGGGCTGGTAAGAGCAAGTTCAAGACCGATTCAACACGGACCTACCGGCCCCGTACAAATCACCTAGGGAGCAAAACGCGGAGCTGCCCGTGCCGATCGATCCGGGCAGGTGGTCAGGGACGGCGTAGAGGGCATCATGCGGAAGAAGCTGAAGCCAGCCATTGAGGCCAGCCGAGCTGTTTGGGGTTGAATGGTTAAAACTTGGAGACTTGCTGCTTGCAGATCGGCTCCTAGGTGCCTGACGCTGGCTTGGTTGGTAGCGAGAAGGTTGAGCCTGATTGCATGGGAACGCTGGGCCAAGGGCCACAGTATGTGAGTCATTTTTTGCAGCGTCACCTGCCACTGTACTGTTGCAATTGTAGCATAGTATTATTTGGGCTTGGTCAAACAGCCTTGATGGTCCAAGCTGCTTCCAGCGTTTGCAAGTTTGAAGGCTATGCTCGAATTTGTTCGATTCCAGGAAGAGACTACAGGGATTCGCAGAGACCAGCTTGAGCTGTGCATAATCACTCAATTCATCTTGATCTTAGTTTCCCTTCAATCTGGCAACTGGAGAAAATGCTGGCACCTTGCGACGGGGGGCAAACTCGGAGGCTGACTTGGTGTGTGCCTTCTGCATGAACGATATGGGCACTGCTGGCCTTTGGTGTGACCAAATGGCCCTTAGACCTTGTGGACACAAATGGGCGGCTCGTCTTTTTTGAGGATACCCGTTTTGCAGTGGTTCTGAAGGCAAACCCAAAAACCACCACCCACCGCTTGTGGGTCCACTATCTTTTCCGTTGAACCTACAAAAGGTTCAACCTTTTGCTTGGGGAAGAGCAAGCCAGCGCAGGAGCTCGGTGCGATTGGCTGGCGTCTTAGAGGTGCTGCGGCATCGCTGCCTCGAAGCAGTCAAAGGGTTTCGGGCATAGGCGTCCTTAGGTTTGGATTGGAAATCGATGGCTGCCACCGGTTTAAATTGCTTTGTTTTCCATTTACACTCCCACCAAGTAACATGAAACCTGCCAAAAGGGTCCTGGAAGACCATTTTCCTTTTGAAGGGACCCCCTGTCAGGTTCAATGCTAATTGGTGGGAGGGTACCGGGGCCATATATTTTTATATATGTATATATATTTTTCGGAAAGGTCGCCGATGGTTTCGGGCGCTGCTCATGTGTTCGTGTTCTGCTGTTTTGGTGGTTTGCCAACGGGTTTTCTTATTCGTCGACTTGTGTCTTGTCTCGAAATCTAGGGGGTAAAGTCAGAAACCGGGGTGGCTTCCCTTTACCCCACCACTTAGGGAAGCCCAATAAGGTTGACTGGGCCTGCGGAGTCATTCTTTTGGCAATGTCTGGGTATCAAAGTCAGAAACTGCTTGTCTTTCAGGGGTATGGGTAAGTATGTAGCTGACGGTCTTGCAAGATGATGCGGCGCAGCAAGATTACGTCCGGTGGAAAACAAGTTGTGTGCGAGTGTGCCCCCTGTTCCTAAGGGGTTTTTGCTTGTTCCTTGGAGGCGGACGCCACCTTGACGAATGCCACGGAATGCAGTAATCCTGTTGGCAGATGGCGTTCCTGATGAGCAATTACCGGGCTTACGTCAAGCCGAAACTTCTCTTTTCACCGTTCAGTTGCTTGGGGGTGCGCCCTCGCAGTTTCGATCAAGTGTGTACCGGCCACTGCTTCCGAGCCACGGTCAGTGTCGTGAACCCTTCGGGGCATTCGATTTGCATCATGGACCTTTTCTTCTGACCTTTTCCGACTGACCTTTACCGCTGACTGATGACCACTACCACTGAACTTTTTCTGCTGACTTTGACCCTCACCGGATCTCCAAAAGCACCCAAGGACCGTTTCTAACTGACTGTTTACCAAGATGTTTCACCAGACTTGTATCACGCGCCCTTGGCCCCTTTCTGTCAGTCCCGCCAGGTGTATCTGATGCCCCCGGATGCAGGCCCCTTGTCCGACTTCAACTTGGCAGCATGGCACCCAGACGCGGTCACTCCTCGGCATCTTCTACCAGCTTGACCGGGACCTTGTATCTGCATCAGCGAGGCACCGGAAAAAGCCGAAACAACCGTCACGCGGAATGACGAAGGCGCATTTTCTTTTTCTTTTTCTTTTTGCTCTTGTTGCTTCTTTTGCTTCTTTTTGCCTTTTTGTTCTCGGTTTCTCGGGTCTTTTTCTTTTTCTTTTTCCTTTTCTGTTTCGGGCTTGGTTTGCCCTGCGTTCCCCCTTTTGGGTGCGTGTGTGTGTGTGTGTGTGTGCGCGCCCCCTGTTCCTAAGGGGTCTTCGGGGTTTTTGCTTGTTCCTTGGAGGCGGACGCCAACTTGACGAATGGCGTTCCTGATGAGGATTGCCGGCAGGATGAACAATTACCGGGCTTACGTCAAGCCGAAACTCCTCTTTTCGCCTTTCAGTTGCTTGGGGGCGCGCCTTCGCAGTTTCGATGTCTTCCATCCAGTGTGTGTGTGTGTGCGTGTATTTCTCATCAACTGGCGTCGATGCGTTGTCGCTTGCCAAGGTGACGTCACAATTATCGACGTAGAGGTGGAGAGGCCCGGCGAATGCGGCGCAGTTCTTGGCACGCATGAGTCACATGAGTGTGTGACAAGTAGTGGTCATACGTACACTATCTTACTTGAAAGTATGTCTGGGCAGTCTCTTGGAGTTATTCCACGCGGGCCGCCAATCATTTCGGAGGAACCACCCTCCCACACTTAGTGCAGTTCTGGTTACGGTGCACATCTGCAAGCCCATGAGAAGCGCCGCTGAGCCGAGAGGGCGCGCTAGCAGACAGCTTGTTGGTTTGGACACGAGCCTTTTTGTTGGCCCAGTGAGGGTTGCAACACTGCCGTTGGTACCCCTGTGACACCTGCTGTGGATAGACGAAATCCATTTCGCACCACTTTGAAACCATGGGAAGCCATTGTTCGTTGGTATTTGCAGGGGAATCATTCATCAATAGGTGGTGCGAAATGGGTTTCGTCCATCCAGAGTATGTCAGGTTGCTTGGTTGCTATGTCTCGCCGATAGGTTGCCGAAAGAACTCCTGGTGGACTTCGACACATTCGTGGACACGGTGGACGCATGCCGCCAGGAATTTGTGAAGCAGCCTGGCGCCCCAAGTGATATGGCTGTGGTTGTCAAAACCGTTTGGGATTCCGTTTTGGGGTAGGTGAATATTCACCACCCATGTTAGGACCTATTTTGGTGGGGATTGGGATGTTTACTGGGGGTGCGGGCTTTTGACCCATAGCCATACGGGCACCAAGTTTTCTTCAGGTAGTGTTGGCCCCGGATGAGTAAACCCCAGTTTATGAACAGGGGGGGTTTAGTGGGGATTCATTACTTTTGTGGCCCCATAATAATAAACCCCAGGTCAACATTACCCCAGCACAGCTTATGGGGAGCATGGATTCGCTTCAGTTTGGCCTGGCTTGGATTCGCCAGCCAAATTGCCCACCCAGCAAAATATGTAGCATTCGTTCAGCTTCCTCGGGTTGCACTCTGTTTGGTTCTGTGACGTGCGGGCGTAATTGCACGAATCACTTGTCTCCCTTTGGAATGGGAACTTTGCAACGGTCTTTCGTGAGCCAATTGCCCTGGGCACTAGGCAAAGGCACATGTTCAGCATTTGTCCAATGGCAAGCCGTGACCCTTCGACGAGGAGGCAAGTAGAAAGGGGACGACCAAGGCAAGTCAGCCTCAGTTCACTACTCAAGCGCCTCCACCGAGGGAAAAGAAGAAGGCTGGCTTCACTGACGAGGAGCTTTGGGCTCAGATTCTTGCACTCGGCAGTTCGCGCAGTGGCAAGCGGCAAGTAATCTCCACTTTGCAAACCCCGTGAAACAATGTGAATCGCGTGGGTGACCCAGATGCACCAATGTACAATACCAGGAATCCCATGCGGTTTCGGGAAGTCAACCTAAGTCTACCTACGGAGGTCACCAAAAATGGGTCCCTGCTTTTGTTTCATGTGCATGAGCTCATCCCTACATGGTCTCGTGTAGCAGCCCGGGTATGCAACGCAGCCCGGGCGAAACAAATCCCAAAGCGTCCGCCTCAGTGCGGCGAAGTCTCTCGGCCGACTGGCCGACTCGGGCCGAGGCTGCAGACATACACGGAGGCGTTCCAGAAGTTTGCCCCGCCGGCATGTTTGCCCAAGTCCCCAGTGCTTCCTTCCGGCGTTTCGCCGCTATAGTAGGCAACCAGTTGTGTCTTGTTAGCTATACCACCCGGTTTTGCCGGTTTGTTTCAGGTTGGTTTCCAACTGAAAGCCGTTCCGTTGCAAGGCATTGTTGTTCGTGCACACCAACCAATCATTCAAAGGAGACACTAAATTATATTCGTGGAAGAAGGGAAGGGTGTACGATGTAGCTGGCAGAGTGCTGGGAGGGTCACCGCCGAGAGGGAGCGACCCCGCGGCATGCATGTCATGATCATGCGAGTTTCCCGGACGCACCTCAAGGACTCCTTTCCAACTTAGTGCTTCCAGGCGTTTGGCCACTATGGTCCAACCATGTAAAACCTACAGAAAGCGATTCATACCGCAGGCTTACCTACAGTGGCAAGACGCCGGAAGGAATCACTGGGTTATAATAATAATATATGTATTATATATATATATACATCTATGTATGTATGTATGCAAATGTACGTACATTGCAAATATGTATATGTATACATATATGTATGCATATTTCACTGTATACACATATGTATGTATGTATATATGTATATATGTATTCCACCTCCTTGCCCTTCGTTCTCATGTGCCACGGGGTGTTTCCGTTGCCGCGCGCCCGGCTGTTCGGCTCGCGTCCAGGACCGGGACGGCAGCGGCTGCATCGAGGGCCGTGAGCTGCTGAAGCTCTTGGAGGCGCGTGGCAGCGGCAGGTCACAGCTGAGCCACGTGCTCGAAACCGATCCGGGTAGATGAAGGAAGCCAAATACAAGGAGCGAAATCTCACTTCCTGAGTTCGCGAACTTTAAACTTTTAAGGGTTTGTAACAGTTTGGACCATTTTAGTGGCAAATATAAAGTTTGGGGGCAGTAAGGGGCAGTCCCAGACAGAAATCGTTGCGGATATCCGCCTTCTTAATTCTTGAAGCATGGTTCTGGGTAGACCAGTTTAATACCGGGTGTTGATTGTGGCTCAGGTGTCCTTTTTGGTTGCCCTCCATTTCTCCATCCCTCCACAAGGCACGTCTATTCTGAACCCCTTTTTGCCGGCTTTAACGGGGAGCCAAAAGGAGCACCAAGGCCGTTTCTTGGGGGTCCAACCTAAAAACGACACCCATGGCTTACAAAATCGAGGGCAATTCCTGGTTTAGATGGGGATCATTCCCTTTAGCAGGGCAAAATATATTTTTCCAAAAGGCCGCCTATGTAGGTGCCCTTCTCTCCCCTTCGGGGTTTTGGGTTCCCGTAAAATAGACTGCAGAAAAAAGAAATTCTAACCTCTCTACTGGAGGACCTAGTAGAGTGCAACCAGTGGACCCCGCGATCTTTTTTCCCTAAGGTTGACCCAGGGATTAATAAACCACGTTCCATTATTAGGGGGGCGTTCCCTCCTAAAAGGGGACAACCCCCGATCAAAATCAACCAGGGGTTCTGCTTACTCCGGGGTTAACATTACTGGTCAGCGGGGCCAGGCGGGGCCAAAACCAGGAGTTTTGTTGCAACCAGTGGATCCCGCCCTTCGTTCACTTTTTTTTTTGGGGGGGGGGCTTTGTTGCAACCAGTGGCCAGCGGGACACCTAAAGGTAAAGAACCCGAAGGGCTACCATTTTGAGAAAACCCCATGTAACCCCAGTTGCAACCAGTGGATCCCACCCGTTTTTTTTTGGTTGGGGAAGGGTTCCGATTCCTTTAAACTCAAGCAAAAAAACGGATGCCGATTCCCCACGGCAATCCACTGGGCATTTGAGAGGAGGTTCAAAGTGTTGGTTGGAAGTGCGGAGTTGCGTTTTGTTTCAGAAACTCTGTTTATTGTCACGGCTACTGGTTTACGACATGGTTCCAGAAAGGGAAATGGCTCATTAAAGCAGGCTCCACATTCACAAGAGTTGGGCTGGGTTTGTCAGCTTTGTCCAAGCACCTATGAGATGTTTGTCACAAGACCGAAAAGGCCAGATCAGAAATTGGTTTTGGGCAGCTTTTCACTAGGCTGTCAGAAGCAATCCTTAATCCTTGGTTTCGGCCTTTGTAGATCTTTGCAGCGGATTCTCTATAGGGGTTAAGGATTGGGATTGGCCAACTCATTTAGAATAGCCCAGCTTAAAGCCGGCCATTTGCTGAAATGAATCTTGGTCGCCTTTTCCCCTGTTGGTTTTTAAAGGGAATCGATTTCACTACCAGAGACATATTTTCCCATTTCCCCAGACGAAGAAGCAACACGCTTTGGCGCCTTTGCTCTCTCCAGGCCTTCCGCTGGGAGCCCCGATCCAAGGAGGACCGCCAGGCCGGAGAAAATGTGTGGAGGACTTAGGGGACCTGGTAGCTGAACAGTGAATAGTCGCAAGTGAGTCAAATGAGGTTCAGTCGCAAGTGAGTAAAAACGTGTGTCGCAAGTGAGTGCTTCCTCACCTGGTAGCCCCAGCCCTGGAAGGGTCAAGGAAACCCAAGAGGAGGTCCCCAGACACAAAACCATCAGGGGGGTTTTTCAAGGAGAGCCCGAGCACGAGGCCCCAAGAAAACATCCTCCCACATTTCACATTCTGCATTGGTCGTATGTTAATGTAGGAGAAACCCTGGGAACCTCCACATAACGCTTGTTGTATACGGTTGCAGCACCTTTCTGGGCGACATGCTGTAGCCAGCGGCAAGAGCCAGCGGCAAGCAGCTACCGTCATCCCCAAACTGGGCTGGCATGATGTTGGTACTTCGCAATTGGGGGGTACAGGTTGCAGACGTCTTGGTCTGCGACTTTCAGAACACTTTTGGCTGAATTTGCGCAGCGGCCAGGCTGTGCTCATCAATTCCTGCTACCCTCGCACGAGTTGGCCCCATCAAAATTGGGATCAGGTTTTGCCCGTAGACGTGTGGACGGGCCAGTTGCTTGAGCCCATCCACTAGGATGGGCAGACGGCCAGACCCGGGCGATTCTAAGAAAGAAACACCTCCCCCCCCACCCGAAAGAAAATCGAACGCAACAAGCTGATGAGTCTCAAAGATTCCCAGGCAGCAGCACACTGCCTGGCCACATGCCGGGGCGTGGCAAGTCAACTGGCCAGAAGCTCCGATCTCCAAATTTCCCAAGCCACCATGCAACCAACACACGCGCACACGAATTTGAACACCTGAGATGGTTACGTTTGCTTCGACCGGCTCAAGTATCATGACGCGTCCTTCTGCTCGGAGGTTCCCGCAGAACCTGCCTCTTGCAATGTCACTGTGGGCAGTGGCAGCTGTTTCTGTGGCCAGTGCGCGATATGCCTCGCAGGACTCAACTCAAGGCAACACCTCTGAGCGAGTTGCAAGCGGAGCTCAGCAAAGCAACCTGCTGCGTCCATGGAGAGTTGCCAGGCGGCCCAGGTTTGGGGAGGACATGCTGCCTATGCGAACATCTTCAGGCTGGACGAACATTTCAGATTCCAATGACCTGAGCACTCTCGTGCAAGCTTGTGCCCCCTCGGCCCCTCAGCCCTAGGTAAAGGTGCACGGACGGTGGTGGATACTAATTACAGAAATGCTTTGGAGCTGACGCCAGAAAACGTGGAGGTCCGCAACCCTTTGACGCTCGCGAACTGCTTGGCCCCACTCATTCAACGAGGCCTCTTCCCCGCAGCTAGGGTGAGACTGGAGTTAGACAATTTGTCAGTGTACCCCCAGGGTGGCTTTTTCGAGGCACACAAGGACGCACCAGTGAAAGCAAATCTCTTAGGGTCTTTGGTCGTTTGTTTGCCGCAGACTTTTGAAGGAGGAGAGCTGATGTCACATCACCCTGGAGCAACGCAGAGATGCTGGACTGGGCGAAGAAGTCGACCCAAAGCGTTTGCCTTCTTTGCAGACTGCACCCATGAAATTTCTCCAGTATCATAGGGTGTTCGCGTTACTTTGCACCATATGTTTACAGAGTACGAGCCTTTGCCAATCCTCGGACAAAGTCAAGGCACTGCTCAGAGAGCTACTTGAACACTCCGAGATCGACAGGGTGGCCTCAAGGAGGCCGCGTATGTGCTGAAGGGCGCCGACTCGCAACTCTTCCTGGCACGCAAGCTCTTAAAAGAACGCGGCCTGCAAGGCATTCTACGCGGCATTCTACGAGGAACGCTTCACAAAGGAGACCTTGAAGAGTTTTTGCCTGAGAATCTTCCGTTTATGGAGGACTCTCAGTGAGTAGGAGACCGACGCAAACTCGAGGATGGCAACGAGGAGAGAGGAGGATTATGAGGATGCCGAAGAGGAGCTGGAAATCTTTGAAGAAGCTTGGTGCTGGCAGAAACAGTTCGGGGGCAAGTTCCGTCGCGGCTTCTGGATTCACCATGCGCAAAAGAGACTGCCGGGCCGGGCTCCTGTTGCGCGGAGAATTTGGAAACAGGGGCATAGAGGTTGATCTGTCCAGAGCGTACAGCATGGCGGCAATCACTTGGGAAGCTTCGCCATGAGTGACAGTTGCCAAGGCGCAATTGTTGTTTTTTGCAGCATGCAGAGCAGGCACAAAAATAGAAGTTACGTTTGCTTCGACATACTTTCAAATATGCTCCAGGAAGGTCACGTGCCATCGTGAAGGCGTTCTGCTCTCCCTAACAATCTGGAACACGTCCATAATGAGATGAGATGTCACTTCAAAATCCTTTCCGAATTCAGATTTGATTGCGCATTGCATGCAAAGTCCAACTGTAGACTCGATGCATCAATTATGTCTTATGTGGATCCAAACCGATTCTGCAATTAAACGTCAGCTTGGAATTTAATGGCATGTCCGCAGGTGAATGCTTCATATGTTTCTTCATGTCTTTGCGCAATACTTGACTATGGTACGAATCTAGCATTGTCCAACGACTGTGCTTTCATTAAGCAATAATCAACAAACACTCAACGGTAAATGTCAGTTATGCTTGGCTAAAATGACCTTGTTGGCCTTGCAGTGGTTTGGGTGGCCGCGGGGGGGTATACATAGCATCTACAAGAGTTCCGATCATCTCCCCGTAAATCAGTTGTCAACTGACCTGTGGTCTTTTGTGTAACCTTAGCCCCTTGGACTTTGAAAACAAGCACCTGTTGCATTTTCCATTAAACCTGCAAAAGGTTCGACCTGGTAATTTTGGGGGGAAGAGCTGGACACCAGTGCGGTTTACACCACACGCTTGCGTTCGGACTCCCAACGAGACTTGGCCGCTCGGCTCCCTATCGCTCCAGATCCTCCTCCAGCGGCTCAACGACGCGCGTAAGCGAGCGCGGGACGCTGCGCCCTTGGGTTCGCAGATGTCGCAAGGCATTGGTGAACTTGCTTCTTCATAGAAGCACATGCACTATGGGCATCAACCTTCCAACCACCCCAACCCAATAAAGGTCGGTGAAGTCTGAATTTGCCCAGGGCTCACCCAAGTGCTGGGGTTTTGAAACCCAGCCCCCTCGACCCTTTCCCTTTAGGTGGTTCCGAAACCGAGGAGTTGGCATTTACATGCGTTGGGGCCATTTCTAAGCGCCAGTGTGTACATGTGGTGATATTAAACAGGCAATCTGAGCCCTTTGACAAGCACGTTGGACACATTGTGCCCTTCAACGGCCTGTGCAGGGCACATCAGGCATATTTACTTCTTGGTGCAGCACTGGAAGTGACGATTGTGGGCTAAGATCATGATCGGCGCAACTGTCTTGGTACTGAGTTGGATCTTTTGGACTCTCACTTGGATGAAATCAAGGGGGAGCCCAAGAAAAGTTGAGAAGTTGTTGCAGAGGGGCGGTTTCTGCAACGTTACGCTTTGGGCGCATCCCCTGGCAGTAGCTCTGCCTAGGCTATGGCTCCCAAGGCTTCACGGAGCGAAACTGGGACTTGGCGTCGGCGGTCCAGATGCAAAGCGTGGCATGGTTTTTTCCCCCCCAACAGCCGAATAGAGCCACGTGCTCAAAACCGATTCGGGTAGATGAAGGTGAGCAATTCGCCGGAAATAGTTGCGGATATCCGGCTTTCTAATTCCTTACATGGTTCTGGGTTCACCATTTTTGTACCAGGTTTTGATTGTGACTCAATAGGCCCGAATTCGGTCCAGTGGCTTGGGGCAGCTTTCAGCAAGGCTTCGAAAGGAGATTCGGTTAGGAGGTTTAAAGGGGGTTGGGGACACCTGGTCTTATTTGGTTTGCCCCTTGAACATGCTAACATAAGTGTGTTTGTGCGCCAGTGCGATTGGGAGCTGGAGGCATTGGTGGATGTCACAAAGACTTGCTATGAGATCGTCTCTTCAATCAGCGGAAAGTGTAGATACGTGCCACGACTCACATGCTTCCATTTGCTGAAATGTGCATTTGTTACGTTCCTTTTTTGGTTTTTAAGGAAATCTATTGCTAACCTCCCAGCCTCAAAACTGTTTCGTTGAGCATGGCGGGAGCGCACCGCGACAGAATTTGTGTATCCCGGTTGCAGCGGGAATTCCCACTCTCCATGCTGGTTGGGATCCGGTTGGGTATCAGATGGTTTCCAATACCAAATGACTACCTGCAAGGGAAGTCAGGGTGTATGCCCTTTACATGGTTAGACGGTGTTGTGCCCCATGCTTCCCATTGGGGGTAGTGCTTTGGTAGTAGTGGCAATCAGTTTAGGGGTTAGGAATCATGAGTTTTCTCCATACGCAAGTTCCGCGGCCATCGCGGCCGGAGATCCGACATATGAGCATATATCCCTCAAACTCGCGGAATGTGAGGAGGGTTCATTTTCACCTTTTAACCTTTAGGTTTCCTTTTGGTCCATATTATTTCGTCCAGGCAAGTGGGGGACCTGGAATTTCCCTGGCCCTTACATGGTCAGGCCCGTTTTGGTGTAGACCCTGTGCCCGGATAGCTGAAAGCTACAGGGGGTCTCACTTCTAAAGCGGGGAAAGTGATTTGCGAGATTGATGGGCTGGTGCTAGGGCGCATGCAGTTTGGGGTGCTGGTGTAGGTGCTGTTTTGGTGTTCTGTTTGCGGGGCTGTTTGAGGTGCTGGCGAGGTTGACGGCCGGGTGCTAGCGGGCATGCAGGTGGCGCGGCGCGCGCCCGCATTTTTGCAAGATTGACGGTAGGGGGCTAGGGGGCACGCAAATTGCTTTGGGATGTGTGGGGTGCTGCTAGGTGCTGGCGACGGTGCGGACGCGGCTGGGTGCTGTGGCGGTGCTGTTTGGGGTGCTCTTGGAGGTGCTAGTGACTGCGCGGGCACACTTGTGCGAGATTGACGGCCGGGTGCTGTTTGGGCGCTCTTCGGGGTGCTGTTGCAGGTGCTGGTGCACAAGCGTTTGCATTGTTTTCGCCATCAGGGGTCTATGCTCGTGTCGCCGGCTTCCGCCAGGTGTCCGCCAACGACAGCCCCGAGTTCGGGTATTGGGAGCACCCCTGCCGCGTTGCAGTGGGCCTCGAATCCTTTTGGCCGAGACTGAGACCAACAAAAAACACAAACGGCGGAGTTTCGTGAAAATAAGTTGGATTTGGAAGGCCCAGGCTTTTGTTGTCTCCATGTTCTGACCCTTTTCACACGAGTCAAAGCAAGTTGCCGTTCCACGCTTGTTGCATGTGCCACTTGCCGCTTCTGCAGCAGCTGCTCGCAGCAGCTCCAGGTTTATTCAGCTGGCTCGGGAGCTCCATACCTTGCATGACAAGGCGCGTATTTGATTTTGTTTTTCTTTTTCGGTCGGTCGATAGTTGATTTTTTAATTTCCATAGAGAGTCACCCCCATGACAAGATGTTGTTTTTTGCCGTCTCGGGGTGCCGGTTTGAGATGGTTGGTTTTTCATTTCCATAGAGAGCCACCCCCATGACATGATGTTGTTTTTTGCCGTCTTGGGGTGCCGGTTTGAGATGGTTGGTTTTTCATTTCCATAGAGAGTCACCCCCATGACAAGGTGCTTTTTTTTGCCGTCTCGGGGTGCGAGTTTGAGATGGTTGGTTTTTCATTTCCATAGATGTTTTTTTGCCGTCTCGGGGTGCGAGTTTGAGATGGTTGGTTGTTCATTTCCATAGAGAGTCACCCCCATGACAAGGTGTTTGTTTTTGCCGTCTCGTGGATGCGGGTTTGCGATGGGTGGGTTTTATTTCCATGGGGAGTCACCTCAGGATGGTTCAAAAACCCCTGGAGTCACCCCAAAAAGTATCAAGAAAAACCAGCTGCTTGCGAATGATTCGCCGAGGATCTTGCAGGTCTGGGGGCAGTCGAAGGCATCATGCGCCATATGCATCCACAAGAGAATTGAAGCTTGGTCATGTCATGCCTCGTGGAAACACGAGAGAGTCGCATGCGGTGACATTGGCATCATGGCTTCTCGGAGAAACTGCCACATTTGCAATCCAAGAAACCACTACAGCCAAGACAAAAACGGGGATATGTGCTTTTTGATAAAAACTTGTTACACGACTTGCATTGGAAAGTGGACCCCCTTTGATTTGGAGCAAAAACATGCTCATATTGCAACTTTTAAGTAAGAACTTTGAAAGGGAGTGTCCCATGGTCCGGTTCATAAAACTACTTGCTTGTCGCACAAGGCAACCCTTGGGTGTGCAAGACAATGTGGAGCCTTCCCGTTTCAACACACTCTGGAGGGGGGACCGCTCATAAGCATATTTTGGGAGCTTGGTGGAAAGCGTGTGTAGTCTCAGGAGTTTAGTATTGGTTTAGTATTGGCCAATTTAAATTTAGTATTGCCGATTTGTTGCTGCGGCTCGGGGGAGTTTTGTTATCAGGGGTAGGTTGATTAATAGTAAGAAGTGATTGCCACACCCTAAGCCACAGCAAGGTTGTCTTTTTTTTCCATGGCTCTCCCGTCCAAAAAGAGGTTCCGTCCAGATTTCCCTAAGCCAAGCAAGGCGTTTCTGCTTTAAAAAAGTCTCGTGAGGCGAAGGAGCAAGCCATGAACGATCTGATGGAGGAGATGGCGACTTTTGCCTTCGACGTGTTTTGTTTGTGTTCGAGCGATGCGGCTGTGGGTCAAAACCAATGGTACCATTTTGGGGTAGGTGCACCACCCAGTTTAGTCTATTTTAGTTGGGATTGGGATGTTCGCTGGGGGTAGCTTTTGACCCATGGCCATGTCAATGGCAAAGATTCGACGAGGCCCCTCACGGTGGCCTGCAACGGCCACTCGTGGCCATTGCTTCGTAGAGCTACGGTTGGGTGAAAGTAGGCAGCGCTATCCCCCCGCCCTCCTTCCATGTTGGTTGATTTGTCCCCTTTTCTTACCCTAATAAAGGAAACTATACCATCTACTTTCACCATGGTGTACTGCGATGTTTTGCGGTGCTGGGGTCCAAAGGGGGTCGTGATCTGGCCTCAAGCACGGCTCTTGATTGAACAGCACCCTAGCGCTGAAAGGTCACAAGCCAAGGACGTGACAGGCCTGTGACCTCGCGAATCAACTCACAAGCCAAAGGTACCAACGCCAGGCACCACCAGCAGCAATGCCACCGGCCCTGCCCAAAAAGCAAAACCAAAGAAAGGACTCCCTCTCTTGACGGTCGCTAACCTAGCTAGACATCAAGCAACCTACAGAATCCGGCCAGCTCCGGGCCAACTGGTCCAAACCAATTTGTATAAGTAAGACATCACAGCTGACAACGGGACAATCAACACGATGCAAACACGGTTAGAAAGACCTCAGCCCAGCCGCACCATAGGTGTCCCTTTGTAGGTCAGTTTGCTTAGAATTGGATGGCAATGGTTCAGCATGGTTTAGTTCCATTTACCAGGGCCATCTATTTTACCAAAAGGACACCTATGATTCAAACTGGCGCACCAGGAAGTGCAGTTCAATCAGAAGGAGGTGAACCAGTTCCATGAGGCTGCTGTCAAGAATCCAAAAGGGTATCGTTGTATTTCTGGGTCTTTTGGGCAATTGAGTGTGTTTAGGTGTCGATCCCGGTATTTGAGTGATCAATTAATATTTTAGTGGAATGTTGTTTTTGCAATTCTCAGGCGGGCCCACCTGAAACAATCTCCCCTTGATCCTTTCCGTGGGGGGTCTCTTTTCTCAGGTCTGGAAAATTGGACAAACAAATGGCGGCTCGCTTGTACATCATGATGCTGTGGGCTTTGCAAATTATATATATATTTTTCGCGGATGTGAGGATGACCTGCAAAGAAGCTGTTCAAAAGAAATCGAATCAACAAGTGAGCTTGGCAAAATTGGAGCATGTTCAGACCGTTCCAATCGATCGAGCGCAGCACAGGTGTTCCTTCATTGGCTCCACGTAGATGACGACGAGGAATTGGGATGCTACATGGGATGGGCAGGCATGACTAACCCACCAGGAATTGACTTGCCCAGCCCGACATGCCTCGTGTGCAGCATAGAAAAGCATGAATGCGAGGCTTGACATACATTTGTTATGTTTGCTTCATGCACGCAGGGGTCCGCATGAGCTCTTATTAATCTCCATACTATGCCCTGTGAGGCCACATGCCGGCGCTTTGCCTCAGCTTTAGCACTCTTTGTATGCTTATAGTGAACATGAGGGCTTGCCAAATTTTCTTTTGGGAAGCGTTTCCCTTTGAAACCGCCGTGCAGAGGTCGCCTTAGTGGACCCAGAGTTGCTGGAGGTGTTTGCATATTCCCACGGCCAACATACGCCGCCATTTTGTGTTGCGCAAGGCGAGCAGTGAGATCCACACCAAACGGCTACGATGTTTTCCTCAAAGCTTTTTGTTTGCTGCCCTTTTGGCTCGCAAGTTCGGAGCTACTATCATGAGGTCTGGGGGGAGGAAGGAGGCCAAAATAAACGCCGAAAATAAGGCGTACAAGGGGCTTATTTGGGCTTCCCCCCCCCACCCCCCGCCCCAATATCCAAAAACACAAATCATATTGTGCCATTTGGGTGACTGCCTGCAAAGTGTGGTTTCCTTTTGGTTTCCCCATGCACCAAAGGCAACATGGTACCCTCAAGAACAACACCGATTTTCATCACTTTTGCCGGACCGTCAACTCATAGGATCAGGACCGCTCACTCTCCAGCGGACTCGATTTGATGCCTGCCAAACACCAGTTTGGTGGGATGAGGTCGTCATTTGCTCATTTCCCAAACCTCCCTCTCGCTGATTGTCGGGTTTTCGCGAGTCGCGAGTTCCACACTGAGGAGACCATTGAAAGAGCCAAGCAGCAGGATGAGTCAGACGCAGGCCGGATGCAACGACAGCCTCTGGTTTGGGGCCTCCAAAATGATAAATCACGGTCTGAACATAGACTTCCCCAGGCTAACGTAAGCCACGTGCTCAAAACCCGGGCAGATGAAGGTTAGTAGGGGACAATCCCAGCCATAAATAGCTGCGGCCGCCTTCTTGATTCTTGACATTGTTCTGGGTACACCATTTCAATCCCGGGTTTTGATTATGACTCACATGGTAGCTGCCAGAACTCCCTGGGAAGACTTGGTTGGTAGGGTAGTCTTTGTTGACCATATGGCCATGAGCATCCTTTTGGCCTTTTTCTTAGTTGTTTCTCAGTTTCGGGCTTACCTGCTCGAGAAGTAGATGTCCTGCACTTAAATCCGCCAAGAGTTTTCAACTTAAGCCCGGGCGGTCAACCGCTCAACCAGCCCTCTCTGCAAGCAAACAAGTGTGAAATTCCATGGCCCTGCCGCTGATCCAAAACGAGCTGCAGGTATTTTAATATCCGCGCTCGTGGATGGCCGTTTATTTTGCCCAGTGAAGCCTCCTTCCAGTACTCCAAAAAAGCACGGACTTGAGAGAACACTTTGTGATGTTCAGTCCGCCCGGTTTTGTGTCGCCCATGTGTTTCGCACAAGTTCCTTTCACATGAGCTGGTTTCCCGTCCCAACGCAGAATCAGCATCGGGGCCAACAATTCGCAGTAAGGAATGACTTGCTTGAAGTTGGTTTGCGGGCCTGTCAAGCAAAGGAGGGGTCAAGTTGGTTTCCAGCTGAAATCTGAGAGTTGGAACTCTTTCCGAATGAGACAAGGAAAAGGCGCTCGTGAGATAAATTGCGGTGGTAGCCTGAGTGGATGCACTTGCCAGCAAGGGAACGCAAGCAGGATACGTGCCTAGGCAGATCCAGACAGTCAGGAGCTGACCACCACGTGGCCATGTTCTGTTTCACCATGTTTTTGTTTGAGGGTACCCCTGCCGTTTTTCTTTTTTTAATACAAACAAAGTCTTGTTTTTTTTCTTTTTACTTTTGCAAGAAAGGCACCAAAACGGAAACCACCATTTGTGCGATCGTCCCCACCCCCTTACAATTGGAATTGGGGGAGGGGCCCTTGTGCTTGAATTTGTGATTGGAATTGGGGGGCCCAGGGCCCCATCCCCCTCCCCCGGTTTGAGGGGAGATGTGTGGTCTCCTTATTTTGCGCTTCCATACCTGGGCTCCCTGCTTTTGCTAGGCCTCACCCGTGAGCTGGTGCGCCGCGTTGTGCGGCAGACTGGGGTGTCAGGGGCCCAACAAATTGGAGCAAGCGGAGCATTCAGCTACGCCTTGGTGGTGGGACTGGAAACTCTGGTTGTAGAGGGTCTGATTTCTGAGGAAAACACCCCTAACCACAGCGCCAATCCAAACCACCAATGGGAATCTCAGACAAACAAACAAGCAGGGATGCAGGGGAAGCAGGGATGTGGGCATATGTTTCAGGTAATATATATATATATATATATATACATGGTTTCCTTTACACAGAGTCCTCGTCCCCGCCTCCCCCGTATCCCCGCTACTTCGTTCTTCCCAAGGGAAGGAAGCTGAAGTACGGGGGACTTCCAGTATGCTCAAACATGGAACCTCACAGGGACGTCCTGGAAGACCATTTTTGGTTTAACAGGGACCCCGTTGTGCGTTCCATGTTTGGTGGACAGCAGGGTAAGGAAAGCGGCATGTTCTTGTGCCAGTATGACTTCAGCTAGCTCGTGGCTGGAAGGCAGCTAAGGAGGCATTTGAATAGCAAGTGATCAAAGTGCACACCTCGGGATTGCAGAAGTTCCTCTGCACTTGTTTGGACTGCCTTTGGGAAATACGCCCGCCACCGGCTGAAACGGCTGAAGGTCAATGTTGGCTGTCGCAGTGAAGACCTAGGATGCAGCATGCAGTTCGGTGAGACATCACTTGCTGCTCAGGGAATGAGTTGGAATGAGCCTTATAAACCATCTCAGTTGCCCAAAGCCGACCTTTTGACCTTTTGGTTTTCCCGTTTGGTTCATTTTTAGTGGAGGTGCCAAAAGGTTGACCTTTTATTTCTGGGTCCCATAGGGGCAAGTGAGTCATCCAAGTGGTGGTTTCCTAGGGAATTCCCAGGTTCCTTCCATCAGTCCGCTCCTTCCACCCAAATTTTTCAGCGTCTCGTCAGGTGCCGCTGAGAGAGTGGGTGGTCTGCGAGTTTCTCCACTGCGTCTAGCGGCTATGAAGGACATGGTTCCCCCAGATGGCCCTAAATCAACACCGTTTTGGATCCCATTTCGGGGCAGGTGAATTCACCACCCATTTTAGAACCTTCTTTAGTGGTTGGACTGGTTGATGTTCACTGGATTTTGGGCTAACCGGGGTTTTGACCCATAAATTTGATGTCCACCAAAGGGTTTTGAGTAGACTTCAGACCCGTAGCTCGTAGGTCCATCCATCTCACCTCTCGCGATCCGAGGTCCATCTCCCCGGAGCGCAAGGAAGTGCTGGACGTGCGGCTGGATAAGCTGGAGGAGGCGAATGGAGAGAGAGAGAGACTTGGTTGTTGTTGGGAAAAATGATATATATATATATATATGAATTTTGCTTATTGTGGTTTAGTGGTTGAGGTCCAACCACTTGGCTGCTAGAATTTAAATTGTTGCTCCCCTTTCAACGTCAACAAAGGAGAGAGAGAGCGTTTGGAGGGGATGCTTGGAGGCTTCGTATTTGAAAGACAAAACTTTGGTGGTTGGCCCAATTTTTGTGGGCCTCAAGTAGAGTCTCTCAAGGTAAAACAATCCATCCCTTGGTGGTTGTCAATCATTTCTTTTGGCCTCAAGTGGGGGTTGTCCACATGTTTTGGGCCTCTCCCAGGGTGTTTTGTACCTTGGTGGTTGTCAAATGTTGTCAATATCTCCTTTTGGCCCTCGAGTAGAGTCTCCTTTCCGATTTAGAGTGGGCAAATATGAGTCAAGCAGGCAAACTCCCACACACAAACACATCGCCGGCACCTGGTCAATTCCCATGGCAAATGAATGCTGGGAACCTGGGACACTGGGATAGGTGCCAGAATGTCTTTTGAACGTGTTTTAAGATAGACCGGAACAAAACATTGTCGGTTGGTTGCGAGCAGCAGTGAGGTAGGGTCTGATTATGACTCGCCAGAAAGGGGCCACGGCAGGCCGCTTTTTCATTGCCGGCTGCATTCTGGAAAGAAACGTGAGATAGCGTAAATACTCAGTAGCTCACCACCGGCCCGGCGGTAAGTAGGTGGATGCTGGCGGCTGAGGCTTGTGTAGGATCGCCCCTGCGAGTCTATAAACGACTCACGCGAGTGAATGATACTGTTTGCACTTTTGCACCTATATGTTTTAGATGGTGCCATCATGATTCGCGTTGATGCCCTTGTTCTCTGGTTTGATGTTGGTGCAGCGGTTTAACCTCGACTCTAGGGAGACTCCAAGCGTGGCAAGGGGTCGTGATTTCAAGCTGGGCCCACTGCGTCGTGAAAGCAGTCCAGCACCCTTGTTTTCTCGAAGGCCGGTGTTTCAGTGGCATTTGTCTGAGTTGAACCCCAGATGTTCACCTCCTATCCCCCCCGCCCTCCCCTCCCCCTCCCCCCCGGCACCGTGATGGTGCGTTCGCGGTTTTGGGCGTGGGTTGCCTTCACCATGTGGTTTCAATCGCAACTCGAGCTCAGCTTGCCCTCTTTTCAGCTGAGCCCCAAGACCAGCGAACCGGTTCGGCAAGCGAGCGGATTCTTCCCCTCCTGGCTGGGGCTGGGTTGAACTGAACCCACAAAAAGTGATAACTGTTTGCAGGGGGGTCAACAGCAACCAAGGGTTATAACCCACTTACTGCACAGTGCCGCTTTAAGTACCTCGTGCTTCCTTCGGGGCGTTTCACAAGAAGTGGTTACAACTGTTTGCAGAGTCGCTACGGCAACCAAGTTGTTGGCTCGAAGGACCACAAGCTGAAGTTCCACGGCTTCCTGCGGCTCATGCGCTGGCTCGCGGGGGCGCCCAGCGAACGGTGGGAAGGGGAAGCATGGGCGCAGCGGAGTTGCGTGTGCACAGAAGTGAGTGGCTTGTCTTCTTGCTGCTTAAGTTTATGTGTATATATATAATGTTTCCCTGTTTGTGTATATATATATAATATATTATATATAATGTTTCCCTGCTTGTGTGAAAGGGAATCTATCGCTACTGGACATGTTTTTTTTTTGAAACGGGACTTAAGCAAACGGAAGTCAGGTATATCTAAGCGACTGTTCCGGCGTGCAAGTTTCTGACTTGTTAAAACTGTTTTGTTTTGAGAAGCACTGGCAGCTTCGAACATCAGGTGACTGGCTCAAGCAGAAACCGCGGGCCTGGACTTCATCCCAGCTCCAGCGGGAGTGAAAGACTTTTTGAGCTTGCGCTGTTTTCAGCAGCTCGGGTTTTTGGAAGCAACAAAAATGTGCGCCGTGGGCTTCATTATTATTATTATTATTTTCTTTTTGGGGGGGGGGGTGGAACTCCAAGAGTGGCGGTTTCATTGAGGGTCTAGCCCATCACAAAGTAATCTCTACAGCCTAAAGTTGCCAGATTTCAACTTTAGTACGTATTCACCGAGCCTCGCCCACAGATCGACACCAACTTCGCAGAGATCAACTCGCAGATGGAGAAAGGCGCAGGACGTGGCAGCTTGGAAACTGGTCCCCATGAAGTCTGCAAGTTGCAATTGACAAGGGCGAAGGCCAGTAAACTGTGCTGTGCTGGAGGCTTTTCAAAGTCCTTGTATCGAGATCAGCAGGCACTTCAGCTGGAACATTCCAGCCTTGCAACGACGCGATCTTGTCGATCCCAATGATTGCTTCCAGTTACTGCTTGTCTAGGCAACAAGGAGTTCCCCCACGATGTAAAACCTAGAGCTAACGCTACTATAGTGGGTGAAACGCCAATCGGACGCACCGGGAGTGGGTGGCTTTCGCATGGGTCTCTGCGCAGCCAGGACCCTGAGAAGCGAGTTGTCGGCCCATTGCCTTTCACGTTTTGACAAAGTAGATGGCACAATCTCCTTGACTTGCGTGAGTAAGGAAGGACTAAACCATGAGGGACTGGTGCCATCCACTCAACTGCGCTTGCAGACTCCAAGAGGTTGACTGGCAAATCTCAGAGACCTGACTCCTGGCACGTGCATTCAGCATGCAGACGTTTGCTTCCTGCGCTTTTGCGTTCAAAGTCTCACCTTGTTTCAGGAAGGCAGTATCTCGTGTAAAAGCGAGCGGTACCGCCGTCCCAAACTTTGCGAGGGGCGACCTTGAAGCTTCATTGCTATTGACTAGGACCCCCAGTAGTGCCCTTTCTCACCCCTTTTTTGGGGTTTTGGGTGCCCCTATTAAAATACACTACAGAAAAAGGGTACCCTTATTCTAACCTCTCTACTGGGGGACCTAGTTGAGTTCATTAGACTTTTTCCGAGCTGAACCCGGAAACAGTTGGAAAGCTGTTTTCAGAGGGGTCGTTGAGCAGCAACCAAGTGAAAGCCGAGAGCATGCAAGTCGTTTTCCCGAAAGCACGGCGAAGGGTTCTTCCGCTGGGTTCACTTGAGTTGTTCTCATGAGAGTCATTACAAGGTGTCATTGCAAGGAATCATCATCAGTCATTGCAAGGAGTCATTGCAAGGAGTCATTGCAAGGAGTCATTGCAAGGAGTCATTGCAAGGAGTCATGGCAAGGATTGCAACTTGCACTTGACTCCTTGCACTTGCAACTTGCACTTGACTCCTTGCACTTGCAACTTGCACTTGACTCCATGCACTTGCAACTTGCACTTGACTCCATGCACTTGGCTCCTTGCACTTGGCTCCTTGCACTTGGGCACCCCTTGCACTTGCAACTTGCACTTAACTCCGTGCACTTGCGACTTGCACTTGACTCCATGCACTTGGCTCCTTGCAACTTGCAATGGACTCCTGCAATGACTCCTTGCAATGACTCCTTGCAATGACTCCTTGCAATGACTCCTTGCAATGACTCCTTGCAATGACTCCTTGCCATGACTCCTTGCAATGACTCCTTGCAATGACTCCTTGCAATGACTCCTTGAAACAAGCAAGGAGTCAAGTGCAAGTTGCAAGTGCAAGGAGTCAAGTGCAATTGACTTGCGAGGAGTTAAAATCTCTTCTTAGGGCGGCGGGGTAGTGCCGACGACACTACACGAAAATCGACCCTCTGCGGGGATCGGCGTGGTCGAGGTGCAAAAACCCATGGTTTTTTGCGATTTCTAACCTGCTCGCGCGACCCTCTGCGGGGATCGGCGTGGTCGAGGTGCAAAAACCCATGGTTTTTTGCGATTTCTAACCTGCTCGCGCGACCCTCTGCGGGGATCGGCGTGGTCGAGGTGCAAAAACCCATGGTTTTTTGCGATTTCTGCTGCTCGCGCGACCCTCTGCGGGGATCGGCGTGGTCGAGGTGCAAAAACCCATGGTTTTTTGCGATTTCTGCTGCTCGCGCGACCCTCTGCGGGGATCGGCGTGGTCGAGGTGACCCGATTTCTGCGCGCGACGGCGTGGTCGAGGTGCAAAAAAAAACGAGGTGTGCGTGTTGTTCGAACTAGAACCGGCGGGTCGCGGGTTCGATTCCTCCCTGGTCCGCGGGCGGGCGTCGCAAGATGCAACTTGCATTTTACAGCAACTTGCGCAGAGCAACTTGCGCAGAGCAAGTTGCACAGAGCAACTTGCGCAGACCAACTTGCACCGACCAGTTTGCGCAGAGCGCCTTGCCTAGAGCAACTTGCGCAGAGCAACTTACGCAGAGCAACTTGCACAGAGCAACTTGCACAGAGCAGCTTGCACAGAGCAACTTGCAGGGAGCGCAATTTGCACAGAGCAACTTGCAGGGAGCCACTTGCAGGGACCAACTTGCCGGAGCAACTTGCGCGGAGCAACTTGCGCAGAGCAACTTGCACAGTGCAACTTGCGTAGAGCAACTTGCGCAGACCAACTTGCACCGACCAGTTTGCGCAGAGCACCTTGCCTGGTGCTGTCTCGCGCTTGCTTCACGAAGTGTAGGGAAAAAGAACGCATCCTGCAGCGTTGCGCTTGCGATGTTCTGCTTTCGGGCCAACCGTGGTCTAGTTCATGTCATGGAGCTCAGAAACTTCAGGGAGCCTCGAGCCCCGGAATCCTTCAAATTCTCCCTGAGATTATGGAGTCTTTGGTGCATTTTGCGCTTGGATGTTAGGACTTTAACTGTTTGCCAACTAATGGGTTTTCCATTAAACCACTGAAAGATAAACTGTTAGCAGGGGAGCAGAAAGCAACCGAGAAGTTTCGTCGCTTTTTGGGTTTGGACTCCGCTCGAGTGGCTAGCAAAAGGCTTGGATACTCCTTTCGTTGGGCACATCCAGTCAGCTCGGTGGCCGTCTCTCCGTTTTTGGCTCGCAGGGTTGGGGGTTCATGATGCTTGTCGGCATCAACATTGTCTCTCTGAGAAACAAACCTGTTGTGCTATCCCCCTGCCCACGACCCTAGCTCAACGATCCATTCGTAGCAAGGTTTCAGAAGCCAAGCTGGCATGCCAAAAGGATAGAGCATGAGTCAAGCGGCATGGCACTAAGCAGATGGCACGAGATTCATTTAGACATCCCGTACCCCTAGCGCTTGGTGCTTGGGCAAGCTCAAGGCAAGCTCAAAGCTCAAGGTGCGCCCTGCCAGGTTGGTGCCATCTGCCGTGTGGATTGCGGTCTGCGGTGTGTCTTTTTCATATCTCAGGCCTTGGTGGCTCCTAGCCATCCGGTTCCTTAGCTTTTCGGGTTTTTAGTGTTTTGTGGGGTTCTCCATTTAGCCCACTAAAAGTTAAACTTTTAGCCTGGGACCTGAGGACAGCTCAGAAGCCATGTCTTGAGTGAGGCGACTCAGGGGCGGGATAGAGGCTTAGCTGGAACTGGCGGGGTTCGGGTGCGGGTATGCTCGCGAGTTCGCCATGAAGGTTCCTTACTCGGGGATCCCTCACTTCAAGGATTCCGCATTGTAAAAATCAATCGATCCCAGTGCTTCCAGTTACCACTATAGTAGGTAACCAGGAGAAACCATCACGTAAAAACTAGAGGCAAGAATCCCTGGTTACCTACTATAGTGGCAACTGGCACCAGGGATCACATCAACGCCGAATGATTCTGACCTGGCTTGCTTGCAGGCCAGCAATCCGCCCTAGAACCATGTGTCTGATAAGGGTAAAGCACTGCCAATCACGTCGTAAAGTTCTAGGGGTTGATTCCTTTTCCATTGTTCTTTTCAAGAACTAGCTGTTTCCCCTGGGGTTCTGATGGTTTTCTGGAAAGATTCAGATCCCTGGGTTCACAATGGTTGGACGTGTCCCCTAGAAAAGTGCCCCCGGTTTCGGGCCCGAGCGTACGACTCTGCGAGTCTCGCCAGGACTATGGGCTTGGGCCCCGGCGCTCGAGGTTGTCCGAGAGAGCGCCAGAAGTGGTCTTGCTCTATTTGCGGCTGTTGTTATCATCTTCGTTACTCGGTGTGTTGGCAGGTTCTTTGCTTGACTGCTTTTGTTTGCTTGACTGCTTGCTTGCTTGCTTGCTTGTTTGTTTGTTTGTTTGTTTGTTTGTTTGTCTGTTTGCCTGGGCGTTTGGTTTGGTTGATTGCCTTGTCATTGCGTTCATTCGTCTGTTTCCTGTATGTGTTGGGGAGATGCTACCGCACAGCGTTGCCAAAGGATCATCTTCATCAGTTTTCCGCGCCAGTTTGACTTTGGAACCTCCTCCTTTCGGATCTGTTTAGTGTGAGAAACAAAAAGGCATGTTGGGGTTCTCCACAGAAGTGTGTGCCTTTGGCTGCCCCTTGTTTGTGCCTTTGGCTGCCCCATGTTTTTTGCCATCAAGGGGCTAACTTAAATCAGAAAGGCGCAACACCTCCTTTGAGGCCATTTTTTGTCTTTGGGAGTCTAGTTCCGGTTCCTTAGCTTTTTTAGCCTTTTAGTGTTTAGATGTAGTTTCCGAATTTAACCCACTAAAAGTTACTTATAGCGGGGGATTTGAGGGCAGCCCAGGAGTGAAAGTTCTCTTCCGGGCCGCACGTTTGGAGCTCGCGGTCCCCGGTGCTACTGGAAGAGGGTATTTAGCCGCCCAAAATGGAGAAAAACCACCCCCAAGAAACACCCATCCAACCTATAGTTTCCTTTAAGGGACTCCCCAGGTTCATTCCATTTCTCATTCCCTATCGCACCAGCAAATTCTCCACCCTTGAAAAGGAAGAGGTCCTCTTTCTTCTGCCGTCCCTACCCAGTCCAGCGGCTCCCTTCCGCTTGCCCTGAGGTCAGGGTCAGTCAGAGGAGCTGCAGCTCCAGCCGTGGGGGGCCCATGGAGAGCCATCAGCAGGGAAGAGACGTCAGCGGTGACGATCCCGTGACCAGTTACCGGCGATGTAACTTGGTCCAATTCGCATGGAAACGTATTAGCTTGTCCGATCAGAAGGTCCCTGAGTTTTGCGACACCCTCTTTTTTGGGCCAGTCAAACACAGTGGTGCAAACACCAGCTGATTTAAGAGCATGTGCGTGTAGCAGGTCACGTGGTTTTTGGATGTGTTCGTTCAGGAACCCAGTTTTGCTTGTAGGAGCCATGCCCATGGCGTTCGCATGTTGGCCTGGGCCCGATTTTTGTTGAGACATAACACCCGGGCGGTTTGAATGGTTGAATTCTCCAAGGGGATGGGGTCATGCTGCAAGGTTTCGTTTCCAGTGGCATGGATCGAAACACGCCCCAAGCCAGGATCAGGTCAGGATACATCTCACTTGGTGTCCGGACTTTGGCAAGTCGCCTTGGCAAACGGAGAGCTTTGTTTTTCGTATCCCGGCACACAGGGCCAGCTGTAGCTCGTGTGGCACTGCAGAGCGTGCTGGTGCCTAGTTTCACCCAAGGGCGGTTGTTTGAATGGAGTGTGGCCCCTGTTGGCCGACGCAAATTTCAGTGGTGTCTTGGGCATGGGGGGAACGCTGGGCAGCTT